CTCTCACGGTGCAATCCATGGCCTGAGGAAGGAGTACGATCCGACGGGAGGCATACTTGCACCTCGACAATGGCTAGTGATCGGCTAGTGACTAGTGACTAATGAGAGCCAGTGGCTAAGATCCAGCATGCAACAGTTTCTTGCACGATACAGGCACGGTGACAACTGAATTCGCTGATGTTCTGGGGAACTCAGGTAACTGAAAATGGCTGTGCTGTTCGAGAAAACACGGAGGCCGAGGCAGTTCAAGAACCTTGGGCAGAAATTCTATATGTGGAACACAATGTTGTATTGATCCTTCTGTTGCGGCTCCGTCTCACTTTTGCATCGTGGCTGAGGACACCGCTCGGGTCGAGTATTTGCAAGGATATCTTGCGCAGCTGCACAAAGCACCTTGCTGAGCAAACCGGATGTTGGGAAGATTGAGGCTGCCGCCCTAGGCTTGATAATGAACCCTCCAAACAAAATCCTCAGGCCATGGCAAACGGAGCCGTCATCAAGGGCTATCTGGCTCCGAGTCGCACTTATGTGAAGCAGCGTTTCGGGCACAAGCACCACATTGCATTGCTGCGCAATGTTGTGCAGCATCCTGCAAGAAGAACGTTTGCTAGTGATAGGTGCTTCAGGTCTTCTTATGTCCTGTTGGTTTGAGGTTTGGTCTTTGCTCGACAACTTCGAGTGGGCATTTGGCTATGCCAAACGCTTCGGGATTGCCGCTCACTGTGAATCTTCTTCGTGGCAGCAAGAGAAACGCCTCTCTCGGAGATTTTGCACTGTTACACCGGTTGATTCACAACGGTTCGAGCTTGTTGCTGCAGCAGTGAGTGCCCACAATAAGACTGCCTGCGTTGTGTAGGTGCGAGACTGAAGTGCTGAGTCACTTCCACTTGCAGAATGCACCTGAACCTATCTTAATCTATTAATTTCAGAAGTTGGTTTAAAATCTCCACATTGGACGGAATGCCTTTATCTTCAGGTGCGAGTTGACTTCACAACGCAACAGCGGACACCGAAGGCTTCAGCGCAGCTCATATCCGATCTGTGCAAGGCGGGCCGAAGTTGTTAGCCTTGTAGGCATCCGGCCTTCGGATGTAGCTTGCCAGAGCCCGCCGACCAGATCGTCGAAGTATCTATGTGCAAATTCACGCAACGGCATACAACATCATGCAGTCGTATTGATACCAGGGTGGCAAGCTCAAAGTGCCCTCGCGAGTTCAAGTGTCTTCGGAGTTCATTCCGTACCTTGGCTTGCAGGAAGGTGTTCCGCTTTTATTTTGCATGTCAGAGAGCGAATTTGTGCTGAAGACTGTTCGCGCGCATGTGTTCATAGACATCTCCGGGGTGGTCACAGCTTCTGAGCAGAGGGGCAAGGATCGATGTCAAGATCCAAGGTACAACGGCAGGGGCAAGGACAGACTTCGCGGGCTTGCCAGTGTTTCCGCCCACCTCGGAGTGAAGCTTTTTTCCTTTCTTCGGTAGACAAAGATGATTTTGTACAACGCCTTTTGGCTTCGATTCGCTTCGACCTTGAGCGAGCGCAGCAACTCGTCGCCAGCTCCTGGCTAGTCCAGACCTTCCGTGCCGAATTCCGCTCGGCACTTAGTGCGAGCCCCTAAGCCTTCCTTGTCGGTTGGAGGAGCCAGAGGTCGAGCCCAAGAAGGTGGCGGCTCCTGCCTTGTCCAAGGCGGATGCCAAGCGCTTCTCGGGAAGCAAAAGCGGGAAGTCTAATGTTCACCTTTGAGTAGCACATGGGGTCGGATTAAGAAGTAGTTTTTCGGCCCGGTTCTGCCGATCGCCTTCCAGGAAGATTGGAAGCCTGTAACCGGTCCTCAGATGCCCAAGCAAAAAAAGGAGTCGTATTTATGAAATGATTATTTCAGGCGGCTCCGTTTTGATATGACTGTTCCTTTCTGGCTTTATAGCTCGTCTTTACTCAATTCATTCCAACCACCCCAATCGCTTGGCTCCGCTTCAGGTCCACGCTTATTCGGAATTCTGAAAGGGGGGGGGTGTTATGAACCAAAACCACACGTTGGACCAACACCTGCAACTCGCACAGTTATACAGTTATACCTGAACAGGTTCAAATTTGCGGCAATGCCCGTAAGCAGCAAGCAAGTAGCCCATCATGGATGTGTCTACATATCTGCCAACGGACTTGGCTTCAGGGGTCCGCATGGTGCTTGTTGGAGTTTCAGGAGATTCGGAGACTCTGGCAGAAAGCATAGCGCTTGAATTTCGAAGGGGAGCCGCTCTGGCAAACGTGTTGCACATGTTGCCTGTGCGCAAGTTCTGCAAGAGTTGATCACATGGCAGCATGGCCAACGACTGTTAATCACAGCAGAAATCAGTCCTTAAATAGACGCAGCGAAGGCATGCTGGAAGAGTCGCTCAGCTGGCATTTGGCATCGGCGCAAAATAACGCTCATACACAGGCAAGCTCGTGGAACCGAAAACAGGGGTGAAGACAGTACCTGCGAGCTATCATGCAGTTGACTGCCAAAGCTTTGCCTGAAGCAGCATTGCCATTGGGCTTACCAAGGTTCGTCATGCGCTACCAGGAAGGGTAGTTTGCCGGAATAGGGCCGAGGGAGGGAGAGCAAGTCAGCAAGTATTTATTTCGGGGCAACGCCAGGAAGGGCGTGAGTGATTTCATGTAGTGGTTTTGTGATTTTGTGGCTCATTGGGACTGCCTGCGGATTCGCCGCAGGCGATGCAACAAGAATGACAATCAAATCGGTGAAAGTTGCAGTCGACTTTCGTTGTCGCGGCGAAGCACTGCACAACTCTTCAGAGCAAGAACAAATGCACAGCTACGATGGTGGTAATCTCCGAAGTTCGATATTGAGAAAAGCAGCTGCTATCCCACTATGCCGGCGCTGCGTGCACTAGAAAGTGATGTTTCGCCAGGACGATCACTTTCAGAGCAAGATGGTGACTTTGAAGCAAGCCAGCCTGAGTCGTTCTGAACGGTGGTTTTGCAGGGAAGTGCAGAAACAAGGTGAGCTGCTTCCAGCAGTATCTTATCCACAACGATGCTACATGCCTCGCAGACAGCATGGCATGGCACGTTTTGCTTGGGCATTAAGGTTGAAGTGGGGGCAGATTCTTCGCGTAAGGCATGCAAGCAACAATTCTCACAGGCGCTTTGAAGGTTGTTGGAACCTGCCTGCTTGTTTAGAAGAGGGCTCGTGGTTGTTTGCGCGAGACTTGAACCTCGGTTGGGAGACGTCCAAGGAGATGCGCCTCTTGAAAGCCCGACGCAGCCTTTGCATGCCCATACAGGCTGCGCTCCAGGGACAGGATAGACGCTTCTGAAAGGAGCCAAACTTTATCGCTAAACGCAGACCGCTGGCAACTTGTTGACTTCTGCTTAAGATATATGAGGAATGAAAACCAGAGTAATTTGTTAAGGCTTCTGGCACAGGCATTGCAAACAGAGTTGACATGTCCATAAGCCGGTTCAGCATAGACTTTAAGGTGACGTAAGTTTCCATTCCCTGCTGACATCGAGCCTTTGACAGTTTAGATGCCTCGTGCTTGCTCTTGGTGCCGGACTGCCCCCAAAGCCTTGCCGTGAAAGGCCGAGATCATTCCTAAGCGACATGGATGCAAAGAGGGGCCAAGGCCGACGATAGCAACCTAGGAGTAAGCTGGTCGAGTAAGGGCTTCGAGATCCGCGGCTGAGCCACTGAGGTATACACGACATGTTCGAAGTCGTGCAAGTAGGTCTGAAGTGGCAAGACATTGCAAGAGCACATAAGGCCCAGCTCCGGATTTTACCCTGTCTTCAGCACTATCTCTCCTAGCCGAGGGGTCCCCACTCTGCAGCAAGGTACGGCTTTGAGCCGACAGCTCGCGGTGTCAGCCGCGTTCAGGACCAACCAATGACTTCTGCGTGATATGGGGCCATGTTTGACGTCGGTATATATTCTTCGGAAATGGCTACAAGTCCTTTGACTCGTGGATTGGTGTTGTGTGTGTGGAATGCGCCACAAAGATTTCCAGATACATGAAGATTCCTGATATCTGGTCTGATTTCCCCTCGAGGCCACCTTGAGCGCTCCCGCGCTGACAGAGGACTTCTCGCGTCTGAAGCAAGTCTGTCTTCTGAACGATGCATTTTGCTCAAACGTGCAAGTGTTTGTGGCAGTGTATGGAGATCCTTCAACAATATTCAAGTGGCAGCTGCTGAGGGTGCTTGTGGCTTCTTTGTGGCGGAGCACAAAGCCGAGTGTGTCAGGATCCCGACATCAAGCAGATGAACGAGCTTGCCGCTCTGCAGAGACTGCTACGAAGCGATTTCACTCCTGTTTTCTTTATCCGCCGCTGCGAGTCAGCAACAGGATGCAAACGCACTACGGCCACTACGGACACAGCGCTTCAGCGATATGAGGATACACCCTTCCCGGCCCTTCCCCATTCCAGCTGGCTCCACGTGTTGGGGCACCGGGCCGATTTTGCGGAGCCCAGGTCGTGTACTTGACCGGGGATTTTCCGAAGACAAAGGCTGCAGAAGGTGCAACTGTCTGATGCGAAGGGCTCGGAGCTACTCTTTGCTAAACTGCGTGCGTTGCGGCTTTAGTCTGAGCGAGGAGGCAATCCATGTCGCCAAGGCTTGCATCGCTTACGTGTTGGTCATGCTCAACTGCATGCGGCACGGAGCTCCAGACTCACGCTGATCTCGGCAGTGCTGCCGATGGCAACAGCTGAAAAAAGGGCTTTGTGCAGCCTGGGTGTCGCCGTCATCAGGAAAGTGAGTTCTCGCGAGGGCACACAGGTGACGTGGGGGTCGAGGCTTTAGTCGCTGTGGGATAACTCACGTTTCTTGGCGAGGCCTTTTTTGATTCAGATTGAAAGTGCCAATGAACCGCTTCCGTCCTTACTTCAGATCACACGAGACTTGTATGGTATGGCATTGACACGGCACGGCATGATCGTGCAATGCCACAGTTGCTTTGGTTTGCCGTGCTCCTCCTCTGTTACCTTACAGCACTGAGGCTGCGCCTGCAAACTTCGACCGCAGGTTCGACACCGCAACACCGTTTCTATCAACCCTCAGCTTAGACTTTCTGGCGGCTTCAAGCGCCTAAGTCACAGCAGCACAGGCTCAGAAAGCCCAGCTTGTCCGGCTTGTCCAGCCAGGTTTTGGAGCAAGTCTTAGAGCGACTGCGAGCCCGGGCCCAAGGCAGCGGTGCTGTCTCGATCGCTCCCTCCCGAAATCTCCGAATCTCTTCACATCCGCTCTTGCGACGGACGTCGGCGCAATTCGACAGATGTATTGCAGTTGTGTTTGCCCTTGGCATCTTGGGGGATCAGGGGCCGGGGACTTAATTTGGTCGTTCCTAGCCGTTCGGCTCGAGCGAACGGCTGGACCAAGTCATCCCTTCATGGTCCACTAAAAGAAACATTTCGGTACGGATCTCAGCTGCAGGCAACTTCTGTCGCGAGCGTCTTCTTCGAGAAGACTGTGCAAGATGTCGAGCTTGTACTAGTACTACGGCTACCGTTGCTGTCGTCAGAACCTTTGTTAATCCGAGGTCTGATTGAAGCAGTTACAATGAAGTTGGTCAGCAGGCGCCTGTCGGCAACAGCCACGGAACTCATGTCAGTGTCGTTCCTGCGGCTTCTGGTTCTTGTTCACTCCTTGTTGAGTAGCGTTTGCAGGTGCGTCTTGGTGGCCCTACTTTTCGCACAAGGAGGTCATGCTTTCCGAAGGAAGAAGGCTGGATGCCCTGAATTTTGCCTGCCCTTGCAAAGGGTGACTGAAGCAACAGGCCGTGTTTCCCATCAGCACGAAGCAGCTGGAAGCTGCACTTGTCACGGAGTGCTATAGATGTGCCTCGTGGCGCGTGCGATCAGCCCTGGGGTAGGTTGAGAAGACCAGCCTGCGGCGTCAGGAGCCAAAGGCACGGGGGACAGCCACAACATCTTGATTCGCCCAGAATGCTTTGAGACACTTGAGCCGATGCAGGCCTTACTCGAAGAGCTGGAGCAGGTCCTCGGTGCAGAGCACCGTGAGGCACTGGGGTGCAGCCGTCACTTCAGAAAGAAACACATGTAGCAGATTTGCACATGCACGCAATCGCCAGATGATCGTGCGAGGATAATTGACCTTCGCAGTCGTAGCTAGTAGAGTGCGTGGGTCGACCGATGTTACCACGCAGCACGATCAGATTCGGACGACTTGCCACTCCAAGCATCTACTGCAGCTTGTTACGGTGTCATCTAACTGCACGCACCACTCAAAGCGGCTGGGAGTTTAGCTTCAGGCAGCCGAGCAGCGGCTGCATGAGTTCGAGGACGACCTTCGCATCACCTTCAAGGCTTTGGGCTCAGCTCGTTTGGGATTTCCGCGTGAGTGGGCACGGTTCAACACCTCCTATCTCGTCAGCCGCCGATCCTTTCTTCATCTCACCTCGCAGGCTTTGCCGAAAAACGGTCGTGGCGCCGTGGCAGCTCCATCTGCACGCTATGCACTGCACAGGCGCTGACTACAAGTCATACAGTAACCGTAGAGAGACAAGTCCAGAACGAAGGACTGAACCAGGATAGCACAGAGCGAAACGTGAGTGCCTGGCAACACCATGCGAGGCTGTTCAACCAGCGCCACGGCTGGCAAATCAAAGGCCTTGAGACCGCCGGAGGCCTGCTGAGGTGCTCTTAAACGGTGTTGCCATCTGAATCTCCCACAGGTGCCTGGGATGCAGATTCGCCTGTTACGGCGATGGGAGATCGGGTGCCACCGAAGATGTGGCTTGAGCTGGATTACTTCATTCAAGTCGGACATGAGGCAGACTCTTGGACGGATGTGTTATGGCTTGAGCCTAGGCGTGAGCTCTTCGAGGACTTCCTGCATTGCCGAGCTACGGTCCGTGCCGGAGATACCTACATAATGTTCGTGAGACAGGTTGTTGAGTTGAGGCACACAGCTGCGAGTTGCATCCGGCTAATCGAAAGCCTAGCGAACACGGATGAGACAAGAACGAAGGCAGTCACAAATCTAAGCAGAGGGAATCCCAGCGTGAGTGGAAATTTCCGGGAGCAGCAGGACCGCCTAGGGTCCTATGGGATGACACTGCACGAGCTCGCCATCCTTGCCGCGACGTCCCTCGGGGTGGAAAGTGTTGAAGGCAGTTGACAAGTGAGGCTCTTTCGAATCTCGACCGAGGATGGACAAGATGTTCGAGACGGACGTTGCGGAGCGGCTGCGAATCGTTTACAAGGCCTCGGCGTTGAAAGCTGAGGACGCCTCGGGGTAAGAACGGCTTGCCGAAGTGCATCTCAGCATCTTTGAGTCTCCCAGAATCAACGCTTGATGAGCTATCGAGCCAAAAAGAACGCAGCCATCCGCCCTTGTTGTTTGGAATGGCGTGTTCGGGTGGGGTGCTTGTTCGAGCACAGGGTGTGGGAAAGCCAAGACGATTTCGGGGTTTTCTTACCAGAGCTGGCTCCTCTTCATCTGCAGGACCTCATCACCTACAACCAGGTCAGCTGGGCAGCGTTGTCCGAATGGGCTGCTGACATCTGCTGACTAGGGACTGAGCTGCGGGCAGCTGCCGAGTCCGATATTAGCAGTCCCACAACACTGCTGTGTTTGCATCTTCTTGCCACGGTCCGCTGTTTTTGTGCCTCGTGGCCAGGCGAAGAATGTCTTGTGGACCTATGCTCCTGAGCGGTGTTAACGTTCATGGCACGGATTGTTTCATGAGGGCAGTTGATTCAGGGACTGACCTTGAGTGTGGTAGTTTAACTTTTTCACTGCTTGGGACTGCACTGCAAGGTGGCAACATTCATCACTGGACCGCAAGTGGAGAGCCTTACTGAAGGACCGAAATGCAGTGACACGATGACTGAGCGCCCATATCCGTTTTGCAAGATCGGTGAGACGCACAAGAAAAGTATCGTTCGTCTCTTCAAGGAGAGGTGCACAAGGCGCTTGAGCACTTCACCACGAGGTGCGTGGCCAAAGATAAACCCACAAACCCACTCTGAGATGTGCTTCGGAAATGGCAAGGCAAGGTATGGCAAGATAAGAAACAGCAGCAGTATTTTGTCAGGTTTCCGCGCCACACAGAAGCCAAAGAACTGCTGACTACGATTGCAGCAGAGGCAGGGTTGAAAAGAACGTCTCTGGTAGCCTTTGCTAAGGGATTGAACTCATGTCTCACCCTTCATGCGATATGAGAGTTGCTGACGACTACTATCCATTTTCTGCACAAGCCCTGGGTCAACACATTTTTTTGGCAAGACGAGTGAGCGAACAAGATTATTATTGAGCTTGTCGAAGCGTCTTGTCCAGTTTCCTACATGAACATAAGCAATGCCTGAGTTGAGCTCGTCTCAGTGGAATTGGATCCGACTACAGCTTATTGCTCGATTGCAGGTCTAGGTACGCCGATGCAGTAGTTAGAAAGCGACGGCAATCACGAATCTCGCGCAAGCAGTGAAAAAGGCCGACCTTCTATCCCCACTCCTGCTGGTGAGGTTGCCGGACACTTGACGTCCTATGCGCCTCGGCTTGACATGAGCCGAGTAGTGCAGACCGCTTGAGCGGTGTGGAGTGGCTGTTTTTCGTTTCGGAGACTCACAGTTCACTGGTCTTGTCTGAGGACTTTGAGACCCTGCAGAAGATCCTGTCCAAGTTTGGTCAACGTCTTGGCGCACTGGAGGACACCGAATGCAAGGCCGGTGCAGTCATACGGCGGCCACGAGATTACATTGGTTACATGCGATTACATGCTTTGCTGAGACCATCCGCAGGTCATGAAGAACAGGTTGACTTCATTGGAGCATCGTGAGGGCAGTGGTCTTGTTCGCTACTTGTTCGCAGTTTTCTTGATGTTGCCCGGCACTGTGCCAACATTCTGTCAAAGCAGTCGCTGGCTTTGAGGCCTGGGTGATTTCTATGGCAACGACAAGGCACACTTCTTATGCATCTTTTGCTCTTTGTAAGGTCTGGTCTGGGTGTAGGGGACAGGGCACGGAGCCCCTTGAGCCCTTGACAGTTTGACTTCCACTTCACCGAGAGCCCTTCGTACTTGCGCGGAGCGGGTCTTCTGGACGAGTCGAACCCGGATGACCCCAAGGCGCCGCTCACATTGTGACGAACCAGTCTGCCGGAAATCGCCACCGTGGCTTTCCCTCTGAGCCCTGAACTCCGAAACCCTAAACTATTTGCAGGCCTTGCATTGCACAAGTCATGGACACAGCTCGAAGCTTTTGGTTTCATGCCAGAAGGCCAGAAGCTATAATGTCAGCTGAGATCTTTCGGGTGACATGAAGGCCTATCCAAGATCCAACTATTGTAGTTCTATTTGCTGTTGTTTGGTTGACTTGGAAGTTGAGCACGGTAAGACGGCCCAGAATCTAGAGTTCTGGTGGCTTCGGAGGTGTGGGCTGTCGGTTCTCAATGTTCTCATGATGGGTGCGGTTTGTGGATCTTGTCACCTCAAAATTAAATTTCAATGTTGTTCATCCGATTCTCTTCCGTCCCGTAGTCTTACAAGGCGAAGACGGAGGAAGCTGCCCGTCATAAAGTGTAGATTTCACCATGTGTGACAGAAGAGAAGACGTGTGAAGGATCTTCAAGGTTTTCTTAGGTTCACTTTCGAAGCATATCGAAGCCCAGAAGACTTCACTCTCTTCCTGGAAGGCTCGTTTGGCTCCGCCGAAACTGTCTTTCGAAGATGTAGCATTCGAAGCCACCCTAAGCCCCCGAAAGGCCAGCTTCGAAGCCCCCGTGAAAAGGTCATCATCCCGAACTACCTCGCTGGGCCGTCGAACTGTGTCCAGCCTTCAGGCTCCTTGCTCAGAAGAGCTCTTGAGACCAGGTGACGACGATGTCAATGCAGCAGGGCACAACGAACGTTTGCTCGCTGCCAGCCTTCCCTGTTGCCGATCCGGAGTTGTAGCCACTCAGGCTACTACAGCATTTGCTGCTTGGCTGGCAGATGTCAGTTGTGCGCGATGCTGCGCTCGAGTATTCATTGGAAGCTCAGCATTCGGTGCGGTGCCTCGAGCTATCCGAGGTTGCTTTGACGAGTGTGAGCAGTTGATGGACCAGGCTCGACACGCAGCGCAGAACAGCTTAGATGCTTCGGAGCAGGCTTTCGTAAGCTTGACACCACAGTTCCATTCCACACCAGAGTTGCCGGGTGGCGGAAGTAGAGAATCAACGATGTTTCCCTGCAGCGTTGGCAGGTCGAGGAGGGACTCGAGGCACCAATGGGCACCTTGGCATTCTCGGAATTGCTTTGGCTTTGATGTCTGTTCGCTCAGAGACGGTCGCATCAGGTTTGTTGGGAGTTTCGGAACTTACACGACGTGTCCCAATGCACTATGGAAGCTGACAGAATAAGCCCGTGTGCAGTTAGGCGGAGTCGAACAACTCAGATGTCTCAGGCACTCCGGAGAAGATCGCATCGCTGGCCGGATTGCTGAGCAATCGCCCACACTTTGAAGACAACTCCCTTCCGAGCTAAGGTCTCCGGACTGCCTTCCTCTTCGCAGCCGGCCAACAGGACGTGCCCAGGCAGCATAAGCCTCGCAATCTTGACATGTTAATAGGACGGCATACAGGCAAACGATCGCTCAAGAAAAGCCTGTGCATACTGCGTGGAGATCGTAAATCCGCATCCTGCAGCCAATGTGCTGTCGCCAGACAGAGTCCTCAGAGCAACGGAGCTCCCTCTCCATCTAATCTGCTGCTGAGGCTCTCACCTCACCTCACACAGCTGCTCGATGAGGTGGCCGGCCACCACGGCGGCATGGTGCCTTCGTCCGTTATGTCTCAGACATCCTCAGACTGGGGGTTGAAAGGCTTGAATCATCCTGCTGATAGTGTGTGAGAACTCGTGGGCTTCAAGCTGTTTCCGTTTGTTGGGGCTCTTGCATCCAATTCCGTGTCACTTGATCTCTTCGAGGTCCCTCCACGCCCTGCTTCCATTAGAGCATTCGTTTGTTTAAGACTTCTCTCATGGCCTGTCCTTTCTCAGCACAGTATTTGAGGCCTCGTGTGCGGTGTGAACATGCTTTTTGGTTTCGATGCTCCTGTAATGAAGCACTTATTCACCTAGGTGCCAATTCACGGCCGCCTCTTCGCTCAATGGATGCATGAGGCTTATCCACGCGAGCGGCGGACTTAGGATGAGAGGCCGCAGGGGCAAGCGGGAAGGTCCTGCTGCATTGCTTTGCAGCACCGAAACCGAGGTGCAGCTACCCTCACCTAGAAGTGAAGGTCCAGAGTCGTTCCTTGAAGCAAAGTTTTCAGGAATGCTTTGCCGCTAACTAATTATACAGACGATTGCAGACGAGAGCCCAAGTTGTGCGCCATGCACCTCAAGGCTTCGATCATTCCCCCGACATGGATCACGTGGAGGCGGGGTTCTGCTGCAAGCCAAAAGTCCAAAAGCAAGAGAGTTGTGTTCGTGAATGAGCTGGTTTGATGTTCTCGCAGCCCGTAACCGAATGCCAGGTCATGAGTGCAGCTCAATCCGAGTTCTGAATCTCTTGATCGCTTTGTTGCCAAGGCCGAAGAGAAGTCCAAGTACTGGTGCCTCGTTCTGAATAATAGGTGCCTCGCGTGTAAGAACGCTGCAAGACAATTTCCCGAGCAGATACGTGAACTGGAAGCACATCGAAAGCTAGCCATGCCCGGCCCGAGCTGCAATGAGGCAAATTGCCAAGCAGCGTGAAGGCACTGGCGAGAACCAAACCGCGTCTCGATGGATCATGAAGGAGGCCTTCATCAATTGTCAGTTGGAGCTGATCATGCACATGTTGAAAAGATCCGAGGCACACTAATTGCAAGTCGGAGAGTTTCGGCATGAAGTCAGTGACAGCCGAAGAATAGATCAACCAAGTGTATGCAATCGCTTGCGACGACTGGACCACGAACCTGCCATATGGGCTCTGGATGTTTCCGGTTCAGAGACTGGTGCTGCAATTTCGATGACAGCAACTGTTCAGGAGTTGGTGGATCAGCAGGGCTTCGAGGCGCACGTGAAGTCGATGCTGGGCAGCAGAATGTTACAATCGAGTTTCCAGGTAGCCCTTGAACAAGTGCTTGTGATAGTGCTGTCAAGTACCATGGAGGCTTATAGATAGAGCTTCAGCCTCGAGTCGTCCTCGTCTATTTCGGACTAATCAGCCCGGGACAGAAAGATCTTCCTTTGTTCGTCTACGTTGATTGGTCCATCGGGCGACCAAACGTCTTTCTATGAGAGGGGCACGTGTGATCCGGACAGGGCAAGTGTGAAGCCCGACGTCCCCTGCTGTTCTACGACAAAAGGCTGTAGGCTTTAGGTACACACGTGACTTGCCATCGCCTGCCCTGCGGCGCAGTACCCAGAAAGATGCGCGGAAGCTTTCGACGGGGGTTTTCGGCCGAGCTAAGGAGCACGCGAGACGATTTGACCATCTTCGGGGCGCTCGGTTGCTTGTGTCTGCAGAGAGCGACGGAGTAGCGATGACCATCAGAGTGCCGCGCGTCACGATTCGCTGAGGCTTCATTGGGATGGCAGTGGTTCGGCATGTCGCCCCGGCATTGAGGCCAAGCTGGTCAGAGGTTTTTGTCGCATGCAGCCATTGCTGACGGGGCTTGACCGGAGTGGGCAAGCTGTAAGAGAATTCCAGCGCGTCGATGCCAAGCAACAACTACAACTTTTGATCAGGCAGGACAAGCAGAAGGACCTGTGAGAAAGTCGCTGAAGGAAGGCATATGGAGGCAAAATGTCTTGCCATGTGTGCGAAGCGTTTGACGATCCTGCGACTGTGAGCATAACTTGGGTTGCTTTCGCGCCGTGGCCTGTCCAAGACATCGTCACAATATTTTGCACGGGTAGCCAAGTTGTTATGTTGGGAACTTGCTCATGGTTTTGATCATGTTGTTGCATTTCACCTTCTATAGACGTGGCAAAGACTAAGATAGGACGGCAGCGGCTTCAGCCCGGCAAGCGATCGTGCTTGCACCGGTCTCACTGAAGTCACACGGTGCAGACTCACAGACAAAATGGCCGGCAGCCTCACTTCAACTGGCACTCGCACACAATTCCGGCGGCGGTTCACGACCTCCTTGATGGGATCTCCTAGAAGAAGCGCTTTGAGGCCTGTGGAGCCGGTGGCCTCGAGGATCCAAACGTGGATCCCTCAGATGGGGTTTCCTCCGTTTTGGCGCCTTTGGCTGTTGCCGTTTTGATGACCTTGTTACCCACCGGACCTCACCCACATTCCACAACAACGAGACCGCAGCATCGTCTGGCAACATGCCCTCGGCAAACAATCCAAGAAAGCTTCATCTGAGTCAGTGGTTATCAGCTTGTCAGAAGGGCTTCTGCCAGATGCAAGGTATTTGCTGGCCTTGGTAAATCGAACGAGGACGCGTGCGTTTACAAGGCGCGGGTACATGTGGTTTGTGCTTGCTGCGGCCGGCAGCTGACGGCGTTGGTTGCTTGCTTTAATCTTCGACAGCACCTCCTGAAAGAGCTTGAGCATGAGAGTCTTTCGGAAGCGCAGGTCTCTTCTTGAAAGTGTGAGGTCAGCGATGACATTGCCGTCGTTGGCACTCTGGACTTCTTTACGCCCATTGTGGACGAGCCCGAGGCTCCGAATCAGACAGCAGAAGGATTCTCTTTCAACTCTGTGAGGGTCTGAGTCCAGGGGTTCGGGTTCACAGCAGCGCTTGAAGTCTCTGAGAGCTTTCGCGAGTGTCGCACGGGTCCGCGGGAACACTGAAGATAAGGAGAAATTCCACACAAGGCAAGTCCCAGGCGTGTCGTGTGCACGGTAGGATCCCGGAATACAGCAAACTGAAGGGGCAATGCATTCGAGCTCGGGGAAATACTCTTCGGGTCAAGTTCGAGCTCCAGCAAGCTCCCGTGAAGTTGATGTTCGATGATTCCGTAGGAAAGGTATTTGCTCCAGGCTCCCACCCCGGAGCGCAAGGCTCAAAGTCCACGAGTTACACGTAGCCGTGAGCAGGTCTCTTGTGAAGCGCGGTCGGCGATCGTGTTCGATAAAAGACATCCCTGCACACAGATCTATGAGAACCTGCCGCAGCCGCAAGTGGCAAGAAAAGTCCTGCTGACAGGTCTTCGGCGGCATCGCCGCGGCCAATGCCCTTTCAGATGTGTGCTCCGGCCAGGGCGGAGGTCTTGGGCCATGGTGCGATTTCGAGTGTTTGCCGTCCGGGCGCAAGGCTGTGTGCTACAGCATTACATTTAGAAGTGTTCTCGGGAGTCAGTTCCCTCGTATGGCTAGTGGAACATAGTGGAACAAATTACTGGGTGCGCGCCAGGTACGCCATGGGTGCCAAGCCCATCTTCGCTCTGAATATTGCCCGGTCCTTGGAACTTCGATGTTAGGGCGCGGAAATCGGGGACAGGTCCTAAACTAAACCCTCAACTGCAGAGCTTCCACCGTAGTGAAGCCTAAAACCCCTGACCCCCTAAGCCCCAGGCCTGGAGCTTCAGAGCTTCAGAGCGACAGGTCGGCTTTCCGTCGAATCGGCTTCCACCCTCCGTTCTGGCAAGGCCCTAAAACCCGGTGTGAGACATTCTGAGACATGGTACTCGGCTGCTTGCCATCTGAGAGGGCTGAGGGAGCCTCAAATGTGTTTCCACTGGGACGGTGACGGCACAGCTTTGGGCCAGATGCTTAAAATGCTCTTGTCCCAAATCCTCGCCGGATGTAGTCTCGGGTATGATGAACGACTCTTGCACGCTTTAAGAGCAGTCCTGCGCGATGAAGTGCTTTGGCGACCTTTGGCAGGATTCTGAAAGGAGGTCCGACGCCTCAGTTTTCCAACGTTTCGACAGGTAGGACCGGGCACGGTTAGGACGGAAAGGCGCAGGCTCCGTTGATCATGGCTGTGACTGCATCAAACGAACTACCCTTCCTGATGTGCTCAAGCTACCCAACATGCCGATGCTTTATCACGTTTCTGATGTATGAAGTCGCCACGACCAGCTGCAACTAGTCGACGTGGTGTATTGTAAGCTTGCTGCGTCGTAGCAACAGGTTATGTAGACTGCAAGCGGACTTGGCTTTCATGACGTGCCGCAACAAACGAAATATAGGAACAGCACACCACTAAAAGTAGTTTGGGCAGTCGTTCACATAAAGCATTTTCCTATTCAATTTCGCAGCCGCAATGCAACTCGACCGGCTGCTCGAATCGAAGATGTCCTGGCGCTTCAGACGCTCTGCCGGACTTGGCGACTAAGTGTAAGCTGTGCCCGAGATTGTGCTGGGTACATAGGATTCGGTCTCACGAGACCACTCATGACACACATTCACATCTGGCATTCGCCTGGAAGCCAAGGACCGGAAGGCTTGGCAGACGCACGGGCGCTAAATGTGCCTCGCCAGAGAGTAGCACCGGACCGGTCGCCGGTCGAGGGACTGCTTCCGACATTTCGCGGTCTAATGGGGATGAAGCTCCCTCCTAGTTCTGTAGATGAGGCCTTTGCCCGTTTTCCTTTGCAGTGCCAAGGTTGCCATGCGTACACCCTCCTTCAGCAATATGCACCTGAAAGGGGCTGAGACTTAGATGCATTGACAGGGGCAGACGGACGAACGGGCTGAGGACCTCAACGAAGTTGGCGGGGTGAATTCATGACAGTCAGCAGAAACCTTTTTTTCATGCGTGAGCGAATGAAATACCATCTGAAATGTAGACAGTGCATCAAGAACGACGACACCGAAGTCTCGCCAAGAACACGGCACTTGCAATCCAGGACTGGTTTCTGCTGGGCAGCCAGCTCCTCCTGCAAGTCGCAGAGTTCTTGCTTGAGCGAGTCTTGGCTTGATGGCGCATGCGATCCCTGGCCTAGGCGGCGTGCTTGGAGCATATGAGCCAGCTTCCGAGATCGTCAGGGCCGAAGTCAGAGCGAGAGATTCAGACGAGGATTACCGATGGTACCGGAGCAGTATCCCACCATCGCAGCAGCGCTGCTCGGCCCGCTCCAGGGAAGCGATTCCATGCCGAGGGTGAGGTTGAGAGTGGCTGTGTCGGCCCAAGGGTCCACAACCTTCTGATCGGCACTGAGGACAGCAGCGGGCTGCGACGACATCGCCGTTGATCCGTCATACCATGCGCCTGAGCAGTAGCGATACTTTGGGTCGTCGCGGGTTTGGAAGACATCAGCAGTTCCAAACCTCTGCCAAAGTGCAGCTAAATGACCTCGCAAGAGTATCAGTATAAGGGCCGACGCCGCAGAAACATGCGGATTTGGGAGTTCAGGCAAGGTCTTCATTTCTCTAGTTAGGGCTGCTGTCAGGGCGTGGACGCACCTCAAATTCTCAAATGCTTCATGTTTTCGCTTAGTTGCATGGTGTGTATTGAGGACATGCGGAGCCTTGAAATCCGTACCCCATTGCGCTTGGTCTCCCGTGGCGCCATGCTGCAGGGATGTGCCGCTTACCCAGGGTTTCATGCCGCACAAGACATGCAAGCTTGTACTCTGCAGAATGCAAGAATGCACATAAAATAACAGATGCAGTCTGAGATCACCGTAATGGGCGCCCCACTGGAGATGGATGGCGTGGTGCTGACAGGCCCAGGCTCGAAGGGTGAGGTGACTTCTTGTGAGACGTTTGAATTGCAGTGAGTTGTCTTTGCCACGGATGAAGAGACAAGCTGGTCTGAGATACCGAGATACCCTGAATAAGAGCAATGATGGCTTCGTTGTCGGAGAGAATAGAGCAGGACGAGAGCATGGGTCTAGTCTAGTGACTAGTGACCTGTGGCAGCTTGGCAGCTTGTGGCAAGTTGCAACTTTCGCAGGCACAGGTTTGATAGCTCGCTCGGGGGCCAACGTCCGTCTCAAGAACTGCAAAGTCGAAGGCTGGTGTTTGCTGTTTGCCGGAGCATCCCTTCACACATCCCGCTCTGCCAAGAGTGCCTGGAGAGACTGTAAGTCATGCGACTGCTGGAGAAGCTAGAGTGCGGGAGCATCCATAGCATCCCGAAGACGCAAGAATCCAAATCTGCCCAGCGTCAGGCAAGACTTTCCACGGCATCATTGTAGATCAGGGCGCAGATTGCGAGCTGATCGAGCCACAGCTGAGAATGCACTGCAACAGTGTTGCTATTACTACACGGTGTGCTGGCGCTTTCGAGGGTATCCAGCAATGTTGGGCACCTAGGACTCCGTGATTCGCAACAATGTACCGGCCTCGGATGAGACTTTCGCTCGTTTGAGCCTTTTCCATATCCAGAATGGTGAAGCCAAATCAGACCCAAGTTGTTGTTGTTTTGAATTCACTTGAGGCTCTGCGAGGGCTTCTAGTGCCCCTTGGCTGATTGGAGGACGTTCACTTCAAACACGTTAGGAACTGACATACCTCTGGGACAAGACATTGACAGTGTACCCAAGCTAAACACTACACCGGGGAGGCCCCCGTGTTTTTGAAGCCAAGTTGCTACTCAGCTCAGGCTGGGGCAGGTCTACCAGACGGGCACCATCATAAGAAGCTCGGCTTGCCGCATGATATCAGTCGCAAACACATGCTTCAGTCCATTATTTTCTTCTTTTGGGTTGGTGTGTGTGTGTGTGTGTGCAGCACGAAGGCGAGAATGGCATCGACCCCAATGAAAAGGATTCGCACTTCCTTTACCCTCGCCGGTGCGTGGTGAGCTGGTAAGTCTGGCTCTGCACAACAGGGACTATCCTACCTAAAAAGCTGTCGCGACTTTCTATATCGGGGCCGGGATTTCTGGATTCGACACATGACTGAGTTCAAAATTATGAAATAGCAAGAAATATTCTCTTCTCTGGTCAGCCGACAGCTGCATGCAGGCTGCAGACCCGTCGCAAGTATTTTCCGTCGTCCCAGCAGACACAAAGAGGGGTCTGCATCGAGGTTTTCCAAAATTTTCAGGCAGACCCCCATTGCCAAAGGCAATTGGGGGCCTTGCAGGCAGCATGGTATCATGAATTCATTGACAAAAACGGGTCTCCTCGAATCCCTCACTCTTACCAGCGTGGTCACAGCGACAGTTTGTGGAATTCTGATCTAACACTTTTTCAGGTCAGGAGAAGTGTGCGGAGGCTGGCGTGGCTATCCTCGGTGCGAAGCTTGGACAACGCTTGCCTTCGTCCGGCCGCAGTCCTCCTCCACCCTGATGGATGCTCAGGCGGCCACACTGTCGAGGACCTGGAACCCAAGTATGGGCTTGCTGTAATTGGCTCCTCGGAGCGCAAGAAGATCCCTTGCCCTTCGCGTGAAACTGGGCAAACGACATGAGGACTCTACTTGTAGCATCTTGTATACTCCGTAACCCAGGGTTTTGCCGAGCCTTTCAGCTGCAAGGTGTTGTGCATCCAGACAAGGCATGGTGGTGGTAGCTCTGCTGTGTAGCTGGCATTCCTGGAAGGGCTTGATCTTGTTTTGTGAAACGATGAACGAGCGTCGACGGGCGAGAGGTACACACTCGCATTCCAGGTGTGGTAACAAGATCTGCGATCAAAGAGGAGTGAAATCATCTTGTTAGCGCATGTGCTGGTGAGTTCGTCATTGTTTCGGCCCTTAACTCAATGGCTTCCTGCGCCGAGTAGTAGAACACAAGACTTTGAAGGTGTGGCGGAACAACTCGCTACAAGCTGGAGACCGCCTCATCCTGACTAAGCCGTTGGGTTCTCAAGAACAAGGTCGCACTGTACGGCATGTGCAGATACAACTGCAACAACTGGAATTTTCTGCACGTGCGCAGCTGCAATGCTGAGGATTGGCACGGGGATTCTGGGGACGGCACAGAAAAAAGGCATCTTCCTCGGAGCAGCTTAAACAAAGAAAGCTCGCAGCTTTCAGAAATTTCAGCCATGTTGAGGCTCGTGGGATAGATCAGCGGCATGCAATGTCCACCCCAACTTTCAGGTTTGGCTTGATGCGAGAATGTGGGGGAATGGATTGAATGGATTCGCTTATCGGGTTCAAAGTATTGCAGGACTTGTCGGCTTAGCAACAGACCTGCAAGCTTGTGATTTGGTGTGCTCCTCCATACACTATGCCCTGAAAGTGTCCAACCACAAGCCTTACCCTTCTGCATAGGGACCTCGAAGTCCTGCCGCATCTTGCCGCTGAGCTGAGAATCCTGAGGAATCTTGAGTGACGAAGCTCGAGATTGTCTTCAGAAGACTTTGCTGCAGCCTCACCGGTACCATTCTGCTTGCAGTCGTGGAAGTAGAACGAAGCTGCAGTTTAAGAAAGGCCCAGCTCAGAAGCGGGATTCGCGAGAAGCCAACCTTGACTTAAGGGCTACCAATCCAATGACACTGTACAGGCAAGCTTGTGCATGAGATGATCCCCTCTTGTTGATTACAGCACTAGACGTTACTTGTCAGACATCAAGGTGAAAGTTGCCGGACAATCCAGGTCAGTCAATTCCGCATGCCTGCTGCAGGTTGCAGCTGAATCGGTCCGCAGCGGAAGTTGCGCGAGCAACAACGCAGGCACAGCGTCGACCAACTAAGTTCATGCCAAGCTGTACTCAACCCTGGGCGGCTATGTTATAGAGTTGATAAGCTCCCACGCGCACATGCTAAGAATCAGGTACATGCTGCCACAGATGTCACAGGCTTTGGCTTGCGAGGAGCTTGGCTCATCAATGATCACAGTCCTTTGACGTTTCTCGTGCGCTTCGCAGGCTTGGCCATCTCCGCGAGATGTTGACTTCCGATGACGACAGCGTCGAGCCGCCCGCCAAAAAGGCCAGGGACTGTCATGCATAGTAGCGGTGGCGGCAACGATTGTGCCAGTTCACGTCGGCAGTTTGAAGATTTCCTACACCGTCTCAGTCTCAAGACGCTTCGCAGGCCCGGGTCACAAGCGGCCCGAGCTATGGTCTCAGAGTTAGATTTTAGTGAATTCTTCTTGCAAGATCTCCTGGGCACAATCGGCGGTTGTGTAACTCGAGGCGAAAAACTTGGAGCTGTGCTTTCAGCTGGGGTTCGATTCTCAGTTCAAGCTTCTGCCGCATTCTAGGACCTGGCTCTTGCCAGCGTTGCCCACCTGCGGTGCAAGATTTGAGGCTGTGCCGCTTCTTCCTCAGGCCAGCCTCACCAATCTGATCTCCACTCCTTTCGGGTCGGGTCACCTCTTGTTTACGACGACCCGACAGAGGCGAAGGAGCTGGCAGTGGACGAGCAATGTGCCGATCACTTGGACTCTGCTCCAAGGAGGCTCTCAAGAGGTTCCATTGGCGCCTCCTTGTGCCTCCAGGTTCCTGGTGGTTCGGTGAACAATCTGAAGCTGGTTCAGACCGGAGGCCTGACACGCTTCGCGCAGGCGGGGTCGGTGCTAACTGCTAACTTGATGTGTAATGTTTCGACACTCCGGTGCTCTGGCCAGGGTGTGTCTAAGCAGATGCAGCTGCTGCTTGCAGACGTCCTCGGCTTGATAGACTGATGGACTGCTGAAGAGAAGACGTCCACCCAACGCAATGTCTGGCTCTGCAAGGCACAGACATCAGGTGGTCTGCTGCTGGCTACAGTCTCGGAAGTTGAGAGCCATGAGAGCACACAGAGGTACAGAGAGTGTCAGTACGATGTTGAAGCGAGATTTTGAGTACCATTTCAGAAGCCGACTCAACATACGTTGCTGCAGTGAATCCGAGGCGGTTCCGCAGGCAGACTCGGAAAAAGTTGTGGTGCGGTGCTCAATGCGAGAGGGGGCGAGAGGATCAAAACAGCGCAACCTCTTATGTGCTTGGTCTGAGGCCGCCCTCCGCCAGGCACGGCACCGCTGTGATGGTGCTTGTTGGGAAGGTCAACTCGACCAATGTTGTTCAACTACGTTCAAATGATTTGTTTACAAGAAAATATTGATGCAACCGCGCCCGACCACTCTGAGCTTGATTGCCAGCTGCTTGCGGCTAGCTGCTGTCGCTTTATTTCGAGTTAGAAGCTACCGTGTCATTGAATGCCCACTTCCCAAAAGTGAAGTGGCTGTACTCACGGGAACTGACTGGACGTACGTACCCCCAAAGAGTCCGAAAGAGGGCTCTTTTGGGCCCGGATCTCCTGTGACAGCGTTTATTGGCTTTCAGTTTCAGTCCTTCAGATGACCTCGAAGGAGTTTGGGTCCTGTCCGGACTTCTGTCGGATGCTTGCGTGGCAGACGCACAGGGACAGCCGTGACTATCTTGTCGTTTAGCTGCTGGACAGACAAGGTCCCGACGCCTGAAGCGAGCCCAAAAATTTATCGTGAGAGCCCGTAGGATGCGCACGGTAAAAGAAGCATCGGTCATGCCCCAAACCACGCCGACCGTGGTGACCCATGTTGATACACACATTCAGAAATGTACTTCCACCGCCGCCTCACTCTCGTTTCTGATCTCAAACCATCGATTGCTTGGGCAGGCCGGTTTGTTAAGCACGTCGTCCATCGGCGAGGCTCGCAGTTCAACATTCTTGCAAGAGAGCACGAATTTCAACCGCCTTCCTGCGCAGATTCGACGTTTGACAGAACCCAGCGCCCCTTTGATACAGGCGCAGGCCCCAGAAAGAAATGCTGGTTCAGGTTGCTGTAGTGATGGCATATATTACTTGGGAATATTTTCTGGAGATGTCGTGATGAAGCAAGAGATCGCCCACGGGCCTCTAATCCTGGTCGTGTACACTGCCCAGCAAGAGTATATATTCCTGAGAACCCAGAACCCAGACATCAGCTTAAGCCGGTGCTTGGTCTTGGTCGCCCTGTTCTGAGGTGGAACGATGAGCGGACTGCAATTAATTCCGGCCAAGAAGTGTCGAGAAAATTATTGCCTCGGAGGTTGGTGTCAGGTCGTTCCACCGCAGTTTGGAAGATGTTCTGTTCACAACGTGGGCAAGCAAGGCGTTGATGAGTGCCATGCGTCACAGCTTCTTTTGGATCACAGGTATCACGGACCTCACATGCCGAGCGACAAAGCTGTAGAATCTGTAGAAGGCAAAACAAGCGACTTGAGAAACCGGCTCGGGCTCCTTTTTCGATCCTGATCCTTAGGCAAGTCGGATTTGCAACATGATTGTAGTACACTGGTTGGTACTGCAAGATTTGAAAAGCAGATGCTCACGAACAGAGGGGACTTTCGATGTGTACAAAGCATGCTTCGCTTACTGGTCTGCCTGGTGTGTCACGCACTGGCTGCTCGCTCGCATACTTCTGATGAGTGTGAGTCCGCTGCGATGGGTAAAGCCTCGGCGCTGAAGTTGTAGAACGAACGATGCACAAAATCAGTCAGACCCGCCCAGGCTGGGCCTCTCATCTTAGAGTCGGCATCTCACACCAAATGCCACCAAGTGCTGTCTCGTACACGAGTGGGCTTACATTCTGATGTCTGTCTTTTTGCTGAGACCAGACTTTCAGCTGGTCTCGTTTACACCGGAGGCCTGTTGAGAGACTCACACGCACTTGCAGCATCATGAGCAGTTGTGACAGATGTGAAACCTGACCAGCGAGGATGTCCAACAAAGGGAGAATCTGTTGACATGCACGGTTGCGTCTAGAACCTTTAGACCCGTATCTACCCCGCTGCAGGATGGGAAAATCTTGACCGGACGCCAGGCAAGATCAGTTCTAGACTATAGTTGCATTTTGGCTGAGGCCTCTAAGCTGAAGTCCATGGCATGGAAGCCAATCCCCGCTAAATCCAACCGCTTGCTTTCATGTTGTGCCAGGCGCTTACGGCAGTCTTCAGCCTTGCTGTCGGCGGCCTAGGTTTGCGGATAGTTGTGCATTTGGGACTGATGCGAGGAACTGCGGCCCTATAGGGGGTGGCCTTACTTTTGAGTGTTTCTCCGGGAAAAAGTCAAAAAACTTGAGTTGACATTTTACTCGTAGGGCACCACCGAAAGCGCAGATGTTTTCGTGTCCTGTGCGACTTGCCAGCACGAAATACGTCCTAAAGACCACATGGGACGAGCCAGACAGCGAAAAAAGACACTGCTCATATGGTGAGACTGTACAGAGCACATATCATTCTAGTGGTTCAGGCCGGGCTCGTGTTGGCGGCCTGCCTCATGCAGTGTGAGCGCGATCAAGATTTCTCACGCAGCTACAGAGGTCGCGATTGCCAGAGGTTAGGTTGCACATCTTCGAGCTATCAGCAAGCAACATCTGCGACATCCCACTGCAAAATGTTTTCGCCGAGGTGCTGCCTTTGGGCGCTGATTTTGGCGACGGGCCGCCCCCGGAGGAGCTGTAAGATTGCTATCTATAGTCACGGTCTGGCATTCACCGGGGAAAACTATGGCACGCTGCCTATGAAACATCCCGAAAACAGACATGGGAGGAGCTAGTGCCATTTGTTCTGGAGGCGCACTTGCAGATTGCAGTATGGGGATGGCACTGGGCATGCTGGCAGGTACAAGAGATCTTGTAAACCGTGAGTCTTAAGCCATCTTAAGCCTTTGGCTTTTCTTGACTGATTCAAAGAGATGACAGAGATGCCGAGTTGTTGTTCCCGAGTTAAGCCGTCATCCCTGGAATTGACTTCACAGTGCTGAGGGTGCCGAAGTCCCTGGGAAGTTGAGATGGGTGAGCTCCAGCATCGCAAGTGCAGGGCCAAGCTCGCTCTCTGCTGAACAATCGTGTTCAGAAACTGTTTTGACGATGTCATGCACGTCTCCAAGTTTGCTTCGTTGCTTCCCAGGATTTGATCCGTCCGTGGATTGGCCGACGGATTTGCAGGCCTGTGTTGGGACTGAGATGGTGTGTGGCTAGCAGATGTGAGCTTGTTTACTTCAGTTTTCTGTTGCGTGTTTTGTCCTGTGCTACATTTTACCTGCTCTGTGTTGCAGACGGGGCTTGGGCTCAAAGAGAGATCCTTAGCCCCGGAGCGATCTAACGCATGGACTCCAGGCTTTCACAGTTCTCGGAGGATGGTCTCACGCGGTCCGTGTCCGCACCATGCTTAGGGCTAAGTGGCGGGGCGGCAGCTGCGGGCCTAGACGCTCCGCTTGGGCATTTCAAGCTTCCTTTCCAACGCCTCCCTCGCGAGGGGCCGCAGCCAGGGGGCGGCCGCCTCCGGCGCCTTTCCTCGGATCCGGTGCTGGAGCACTTCCGTGCTGCAAGCGAAAGCAACGGCACGCACTTCGGCACACATGGTCCTTTCGAATGCTCCCACCTCGCTCGCCCGCATACAGTGCCCAGCTGGCTCTCTTCAGAAAAGGTATCCGACTCGGAGATATGGGAGCCGCGAAACTGGGGGTCGAGCGAGAAGCAGCAGCAGGCAAAGCGCGGCTTGTTGGCCAGAAGGAAGAAGACACAGGCACTGCGTGAACGTGACCAGAGACGCATCCAGTTTATGGTCGACCGCCGCAAGGATGAGCGGGAGGAACGCTTGAAGCGGCTGGTGCAGGCCAGTGGGAAGAAAAGATCCGAGATTACCATAGTTTGTAAGTTGTACTAATTTGATAATAACCCAACTGAGAAGCTACAAGTTTCCTCCCCGGAGCCGCTCGCAGCGACTTGCCTTGCGGCAGCATTACCAGGTCATGACAAAGAATGGCCCCGACTACGAGGCTGCCGTGCAGCTCAGCGAATTCCGAGATCAGGAGGAAGCCAAAGTTCGAGCCCATTATCTGGACTGGGACCGGCACATCTATAATCCAATTGCAACCCAGGCTTTCCGACATCTCAATCCTCGGGTGGAGAAGCGCGTGTGCTTCAACCTGGATTCGCCGTTGAAACTTGCAGTGGATGCTTCCAAGGATCCTGCGAAGCGACAGCTGCTGCAGAACCATCGCGAACGGAGCTTCCAGAAGGAGTGTCACGAGCTTCTGAGTTCTGCGCCCGTCCTTCCGGACCCCGTGGATGAGAGGCGAGCATTGGGTTCCGACTGTTTGCCCAAGTCCGTCAGCCGAGCCATCTTGGAGCCTGACGTCTGGGGGCACTATGCCACTTCGGTCTTTGGCCACTTTATCGAGACCTGTGATCCCCGAGGAACCTGCAGGAGAATGAGATTCGGTGGGCCGAACCAGCACATTCCCGATGAGACAGATTGTGCCGCCGCAGGCACCCGCGTCAGTCGCACTCGTGGCTTCGGAGACAAAGGCGTGCTTCGGGATGAGGTCGCCATGGGTGAGACCCGCGATTTCCGAGATGGCAGTGGTGCTGGCAGTGCTGCCCCAGCCCAGGACCACTTTGGCTTCCAGAGTGGGAAGGAGATTGTCGACTTGGAGTTCCCACCAGGAAAGAAAACCTTTCCGGAGATGCGGCAGTACTATTAGGATGCATGCCCTTTGATCCAACGGTGTTCAAAATTTAACACAGAGAAATTTATATTCGTCGCGCTCTAAGCGTCTGACCGTAGCTAGGACAGCGCATTGCAAACATCGCAATGGGCCGAGGTCGTGGGCAAGACGCCCATAAGTTGATCGTTCATCTGGAATCAGTACATTCAGCTGTGATTCTGAAATGGGCCTTGCAGGGTGATGCAAGGTATCTTTCAGAACAAGGGCCATTCATCTTGGTTGCTTCGGACTGCCACCTGCAGACTAGAGGCCGCAGGAGGACCTTGAATCATACAGCTGGCTTAGCTGCTCTTGTTTGTTTAGCAGATCAGCTGCCGTCTGTTCTCCCAGAGCTGCGCGAGTTTGTGCTTGGTGCTGCAGGCCCTCCGGGTAGTTTTTAATTTGCAATTACGGAGTCCTGCGCTTAGTTGATGTGCTGTAGCCTATCTCACGGTTTTTTGTTGCGTCTGCAATCCCTCAGGTGTTAGTGGCAAGCGCTTGCGAACTGCTCCGGAAACGCGCGATGCCCAAAACCGGATACCTCGTGAAGACCTGTGCAATCTGCTTGCCGAGGCTTCATCTCTCGACAAACCCTCTCGATTACTGGGTGGGGCTCTTGAAACTCATGCTGCTAGTTGCTTCTGGCAGGGGCGCTTCTTGTAAGCATGTGGCGACAACAGCGGTACTCAAAGATTGTTTTGGAAAGGCGTCAATGTCACAGGTCCAGGAAGTGCGATCCAAGCAGCTCAACGAGCTAACGGACGGACGCTGGAGCTACGACTTGGAGGCCGGATCGCATCTCGCTCCACCCCTCTTGGCCTGCTTGGTCCACTGGTGTTGCTGTGCTGTTGCATTTCAGTACAGCCTTCCAGTAGGTTCCGCATGTGTGAACACCGGTGACGCTGCAGGCAGATCGCTTTCAGCCAAAGGGCGCGTTTGCAGCAAACCCAGCATGCAGCTTGATCGGGAAATCGACAGCGGCTTCAGGCATCGCGTAGTAGTAGGCGTAGTATCGCCACGCACTCACATGGTCACACAGCTCAAGGAGTGCCCCAGCGACTCGCGCATCCAAGTGGGCTTCAGCGGTCCTGTGGTCCTGGAAAGGCCAGGGGACAACCGTCCCAACCTAAACCTTTTCCGATCGAGGGAGAGGGGATTCGCCAGAGGGATTTTGGCGAGTCGACTTTGTCGATTTTGCAGTGCAGCTATCCGTGCCCCGCTCAGCAGGTTCCTGAAAGAGCCATCCATGCTGCAGTTGTGGAATGGCCACTGGCTCAGCACGGCCGTTATGTAGATGTTTTTGGCTCGTTTATGAGGCTCCGGGGTAGCGCGGTTTGAGGGTCGGATGAGTTGGACTTGAGGCCGAGTGTTGAAAGTTTTGTGCGTACCTACTCGGGGAAGACAGCTGGGCGGCCGCTGCTACAACGAGATGTTGCGCATGTAGTGTACGTTCTGTAAGGGAAGCGCAGATGGCGTTTGGCAAAGTACAGTGTTGTGCCTGGCAGTGGGATGGCCTGAGCATACGCAACAAAGGGCTATGAGGTACCTCGACAAGCATGATCCAGATAGCTGGGACACACCTCCCCACGGCTAAGGCACCTCTGGAGTTGGGATTCCTGTCAGTGAGATTGCGCCCTGTGCCGGCGAGGCCCGAAATCGGTGATGTCGCGACAATCATTCAAACTGGCAGGTAAGTGTTCTGATGCTTATGCAAGGCACCAAAGCCTTTATTCCTGGAGCTCGGCGAGCCACCCGCAACCTTCGAGTTGCGCTGCGAGAGCCTGTGCCGAACGGTCGAATCCAACGAAGGTCTTCATTCCTATTTCCCTCCCCTCTGCCATGAGGTTTGGAATTCAGCCTCCCGGTGAGGCTCTCTACAGGTGGAGCTGGGAGCTCATCGTGAAGACGTCTTTGAGTTGTGATAGTTAGGGCAAGGCAGGCAGAGGGCAGTCGTACTGAAGCAAGAAATCAAAACCAGTGCATACTTTGTTAGGGAAGCTCTTGGGGAGGTGCGGCTCGATCCCAAGGGACCCAACAGCTCAATGACTCGGCTTTCACGAAACGAACATGGGCATCGCGGAATACCCCTGCATCGGATTCTCTTGGACATGGGGATGTTCTTGCTCACGGAATCAAGGCACGCGTGGCGATGGAATTTGTTCTTTGCTTAAGCCCGGTTCTCTGTGACACTGTTGAGGATAGTCTTGAAATTCCACGTGCGGCATCGTGCAGCTTGTATTGGCACTCGCAGACGTCGACCCTTACGAAAATTTGGCAGATTACTCTTTGTAGTCTGCTGTCGAATCACCGACCATCCTGTTCAGGCAATCTCTCAACTTGAAAAAGAACCTAGGAAGGTGGGAGAGGGGCCAGCGGAGTAGCCGATTGTGCACGACGAGGAAGGTACGAGCGGTACAGGTAGCTTGTTTGCAGCGAGCCACCAAGGCCTACACGGTGAACATGAAGCCAGGTTCCAGGCCAGCTTGCCTCCGTCGTGTGAGGGCGGTCTGGCAAAGGGCCCCTGGCGCTGCCTGTGTTCTGTGCTGGAAGGTACCATCCCTTTAGTGGACCAGTCCGTCAAGGCTGCCGTGAGACTAAGAGGGCGACGCGTCACTTCCTCGGAAGACCTTTTGGAAGGTGACCATGGCCTAAAGCTGACGGGCCCTCGACCTTTCCTGTTCAATTTTTTACCGTCCGCGGCTTGGCATTGGGCGTTTCCGAAACTCAGCACTCGTAGATCTCCGTCAAGAAGAACGATGTTGATCGTTGGTGGACGTTTTCACGGGTTGATGCTGTCCATCCCGAGCCCTCTCACCATTCCATCTTGGTTTGGAAGCGTGTGTCCACATATGTCGTGAGCACTTGCTCCAAGCTTGTCTGCTGCATGGGTCTTTCCGGCGAGACCGTCTGAGTCACACATTAGATCTTCAACTGGGAAGTTGAGCTGTCCGAACATACAACATTGGATTGTGATTCCTCGTTTCCACGGCCCTGTCTTCCTAAAATAGCTGCTTCTCGTGTCATGTCCTGTTGCAAGCTCTTATATGTAGCAATGAGTACATTTCTTTCTTTCCTGTTCCAGCTGTCCCAGTGCTCTTCCATGGGACCAGGCAGCGTTGCAGAGACGTCTCAAGCTCGGACTCTGATTTGAAGTTCTCGCTGCCTCCTGGGAGCCAAGTCAGGAGGTATCAAGGATCAGGAAGGGTTATCGACACGAGTTGCGGGGAAGCAACGGACTGCGTGGACAGCTTCCGCTGCGAGCTGAGGTTTTTTTCCGACTGTACTTGAGACACGGTTTGAAGGCCAGTCAGAACTGCAGCATTGACCATAGTGCCAGAGGGTCGGGGAAGAGTGCAGGCACGCGAAGCATTGGGCTGTTTAGTGGCGAAGGCCGATGCTCTGCACAGACTTCACACCGCCATCTCCGTCACCGCTGCAGATGGAGAGGTGGGAATCGCTGGGAGTCAGTGTGGCTGGTGACTGTGCTTCCCTTGAAAGATCTTGAAAGGTGATGCAGCATCGCCTTGAGGTAGCGAAGAAGGCCACGCTCGAAATGAAGGCAGGGCTATTAGCCATAGCAGTGCCAGAAGCTATAGCGTTGGCTAATGCCTGAAGCAATGCGACGCGAAACCGCGAAGGTTTTAGACCTGCAGCCAGGGCGCGAGTGTACTGCTCAGCATCAAATCGAATGCCGATCGCATGTCCGCTTCAGACGATGTTGGCAGAGACAGAGTCTTCCGGACCAGTAGTCTGGCAGTCCAGCTAGGTACAAAGTTCGTGTTCGACCTTCTGTCGATGCCGGGCTCCCAGCAGAACTCGGCGAAGCCTTTGGGGTGCAAGCATTCTTGCTGTAAGCGCTGCAAGCGAGATTATAAGAATGCGATGCGCACACAAGTTGGGATGCTGGTCTTCAGGTGCTCGACGGCCTCGGTCAGCCATTGCAGGGCTCGGAGGTAACGCTGAAGATGGCGCAGCTTCCAGGCTGGGGTTGGGAACACCGGAACGGTCCAGGGACTACCCCATTCGGTCACGTCAGGCTTGTTCCTGACGCCAGAGTCGCGGAATCCGGGCCTGTGGTCTTCGAGCGTCGCTGATCGGTTTCTGCCGTCCGATCTGCCGGCCACGAGCTCAGAGGTCACGCTGCGTTCTTTCGAATCTGTGCTAGCTGCCTTCGGTAGGGACACTTAGAATGCTTGTGCCCTGGCTGGGTCTTGTGCTACCTGAATTTCAGGGAATAGGTGGGCATGCAAAGAAATCCAGCTGGCCTCAGATTTCATTTTTCATTTCAAGCTGAGGAGTTCTTCCCCCTTCTTGCACGGCGTCATCCACCGAAGCAGCTTGGTTCCTTGCCTTGCAAGAGCCCTCTTGGTATTTTGTTGCATGGGAGTGCATGATATCTTGGCACGGACTGAGACAACACAAAAAAGTTGTAGCCCGCGCTTGCCTTCAGTTCCGGAAGTACGTGCCTTTCCCGATTGCAGGCAATGTCGAGCCAACCTCATCCATGCAGGCACCTTTTCTTCGAGTTCATTCACTTGCCGACTGATTGCACACATACACGTTAGGGCAAAAAAGCCGAGCCGCACCCAAGGGTTCAAACCTTCCGCCACACATGCAGCATTTGGCAAGTGTGGAATGGACAAAGGTTACTTGTGATAGCAAGCACCGACCGCAACCTGAAAACTCGCCAACAACCTGCAGCTTGCAGGCATTTGCATGCCCGATTTCCTCAGCGGAAGAGCTGAGGCGGATGCTGCCACCCGTTGTGGTAGCAAATTCATTGTAATGGCGGTCAGTGCTGATTGAGTTGTACTCAATATATGGTCCTGCTGTAAGTGTTCATTGGCATTCCTTGAGACGTACAGATGCAAACCGTCAAGTTCAAGTTGGACACGAATCAAGAAGACGGACTTATGCAGGGTGTATCCGCAGAATCCAATTACGGGGGGACATGCCGAAAAGACTCCAGAATGGTTCTGAAAGGGCTAGTTTGGGTCGCATTACGATCCGGGATGATCCAGGTAGCTGCCGGGCGAATGCCAACCGTAAGTTTGCTTCCCTCAAGTCATCTCAAGTCTTCAGCTCCCCAGCTTCCATTCTCTGAATGCCCCCACTAGGCTCCACCCGCGTGGAGGCTTACGGGCCACCCCAGACAGCATTGACCCCAACACAGGCGAAAACTGACGACCAGTGTCCTGTGCTCAGGGACTTTCTCACCTTCTACTTCTCGCCAGAAAAGGCCATGATCAAACGCGCTCAAGTCAGTTGGCGACCTGGTTTATTGCCACTCTGCCAGGCAGCGTCGTCCAAGCATGGCCCCTGTGCTGCCAAAGCTGCAGCCGCTGCCTAAGTTGCGCTGCTGCAGTTATTATGTCAGGGCACTGAACCCTTGCTCTTCAGGACCGTCCGGGTGTCCTTCTGGCCAGTGGCAAGGATGTCCAGTTCAACCAGATACCTGTGGAGTTCATGCGCTCAAGGCAAGGGTAACCCTGATGTCTCGTCTCGGCTGAGCGTTGCAAACTCTTTGAGGCTGCTCTTCCTCGAATTGGTCTGCATGGGGCAAGATGCAGACATGAGACAGTGTGGGATGCGCAGCAGCCCCTTCGCATTTGGCGACTTCAGTCTTGCATGTGAACCTCTGGTCTTGTCCCGGCAGGTCCTGGAAACACAGCGCGTTTCCTAAATGCGGCATCATTCGAGGTCACGGTGGTGTCTCGGCTTGCGAGTCTGCTGCTGTGTCCTTCCTTACCTTCCTCGTGTCTCAGGCATTTGCTAGCCCACGAGAGGCACCCTATGCCAGCGAGGAGTCTCGCCCTCATTCGGCGACATCTCAGTCGCGCATCAGTCTCTTAGGTGCCACTGTTGGAAGCAGGGGCCTTGCCAAAGCCCGGCTTCGCCAAAGGCCTCATGCGCTGATCCTGACAGCGGTGCACGACCTGAACGATGCAAGCCCAAGACCGGGCTTGGAGGCCACCGCTCTGAATGGTGAGTTGATGTCAGGTTCTCTTGATCAGCGCATGATGACATGGCCCGCAGGGAGAGCATGAACTAAGGCTCAGCGTTTGCATTGTGGGCGTTCGTGTTCCTGTGTGAAGACAGCGTTGAGGTGTTGTGGAAACAGGGCTGACAATTGAGAGGGCACTGCAGGGCCAATGCCCCATAGCTCACGCAAAGGCTCCGAGTGGGTTCTAGATTGCCTTGCTGTGACAGTGTCTTAGATCGGAACGAGAGCCTCGAGATGACTTTTCTTGGGTGGTGAACCTGTTGATGCCCGCTCCAGCTGATTCAGTGTCTTCCAAGGGAATGGGATTTGCTGCATGTCGCTATTGTAATCTGCTGCGGTTCAGGTGACGGTCTGGGAAATACCCAGCACGCGCTGGATGAACGGTCAGAGTGTCCAGCCGCCTGTCAAAAGGAGCGAGCCTTTCAATAAGTGCTTCTTCAGAACACAACGGGGCGCGAAAGCGACACAGCAGGATCGCGACGGAGGTGACGGATGCGCATGGCCGCTCGGCCACTTCGCTGCCACAGGACAGCCGACCCTCTAAGAACCCAGTGCTTCCAGTACTTGAGGGGCTTGCGTTTTGCTGCTAGCGCAAGTTAAAAGAGGAGATGCGGCAGCCCCATGAATATGGCGGCAAGAAGGCAGAGGAATTGGAGCGACTAGGAGAAGTCATCATAGAACCACATCGTGCCTTCAGCGACATTGGCAGTGCGATGCTTGAATTTGCCCGAGCAAGCATTCATGCTGCGAGGGCTATGTCGTCTCTGTTCAAGACCCCAAGAGTGGCGAGATTCTCCTCTCTGACTTGCACGGCACTGAGTCAAGCCGCCTGTTGTGGCTAATGAAGCATAAGGAAGCTGCTTGTTGCTCGGATGGATTCGACGAGCTAGGCTACGCCTCGGGAGGATGCCACCGCAAGTCGAATCCCCCAGCTGATGCCTCGGCAATGCGGTGCAAATGCTTTGCAGACGGTCCCGGCCACCGAGACAGGCAGAGTGAGAGAGAGTGCGTGTGACATACAGTGGGCCTTGCTGGCTGGCATTTGCTAAGGTGCAGCATTCGCCGGTGCTCTCCGAGTTTCGATTGCTACAGACCGGGCTGTGTATGCACGGATGCCAAGCTTCTGGTTTCTGACTATGTAGGTCAAGCGGTGACAGCAGCTTAAGCTGACACAGTGGCTGACAAAGACCGGATTTCGTTGCGCGTTTACGGAGTGCAAGAGCTCGAAGATGTTTGGACGTGGAGAGACTCACCGATGTGGCACTTCGTGGCAACGCAAGCCCTGAATTTGGCAGGCGCCTGGAGATTCCTTGGCGGTGCTTGGCGTGGTTGCTGCAGTTGGCACGATTTGTCCGGGAGGAAAGCCAGGCACGGACCGTCGCAGAAGCGGAATCGTGCATGAGACGCCAAGCTGACAGTTGCTGGAACACATGAGCCTGCAAGGCAATGTTTGTGCCCCCTCTGCTGTGCGAAATGAGCCAAGCGTCGAAAGCCAAGATATGGAAGCAGCTTGAGTTGCAGCGACCAAAGGAAGGATTGCTCATACACTTTTGAGCGCAGTGAAAAAGCATGCTCGCACCACCACTGTTTGCGCAGCACTGCAGCTGAGATTAGGACTTAGGACATAGTCGACGCGTGCATAGAGACTCTTTAGCATGGCACGTTGTCGCTCACGCACGAATCACCAATCACTCAATGCAAGCGAGATATCCGATAAGACCCTGAGCATCTAAGCCCCAGCCTTTCCCCATGATACAACATCAGCTCAGTGAATCCTCACTTCAAGCAAGCCGCTAACGAGGAGCAGCCAATGACAGATTTTAACTCGTTGACATGGTTGTTGCTAGTAGCAAACACCCAGCAAGTCCAAAGACACATTGAGCGGAGCCCATGCTGCGAGCCTGAGCACAACCTTCGTGTCACTTGGCAATGACGGCCGCAATGACGCCGGAGGCGAAAGATTCATTTTGGATCCTTTTGAGGGGCGTGATGTTGTGTGGCTGCAGGTGTGGGATCAGCTGAAGCATCTCCGAGAGGATCGGGAGAAGCTCAAGGAGGCTAGATCGGCTAGATGTGCCCACTCTCAGACTCGCACCGCACGTGCAATGTCGACAGGCGGCCGAGAGTGCGCTGCAGGATGGAGACGAGGGAGGCTTCGAGTTCCAGAACATGCTCGCCTCCGAAATCACCGCATCCTGGCTCACTGAGGGTTCTCACAAAAAGAGTGCAAAGCAGCACAATGGGCACATAGTCACATACTGTCACGTACTTGCAGTGATTTCAAGTCGCGCTGGAGGAGAAGATCGAGGAGCTCGAGGGGAAATACGGCTCCCAGCCGCCCTTGCCGGGAGCCAGAAACGAGGGGCCCGTGCAGGCGAGCGTGAGCCGGAGCGAGTGCTCGGAGAGTGTCTGCAGTGTCAGGGGGGCCCCGGGCCCTTTTTCCGATCTCTTAGAGTCTAATCTCCTGGGGTGCGCAGGTCGGTGCGAAGTTGCCGCTGCCCCCTCCACCACCGGCGTGGCTGGGATGAGAAGCGAGAGACCAGCGCCAGCTGCAGCCCGTGCTGTGCTCTGAGGCCGGTGGCATCGGTGGCTTTGGCCAAGCTGCCGGGCATGCCCGGGGCCTTTCCGGGCCCTTCAGCTGAAATTCTGCTGGAAGTGGGTTGGCAGTTAGGATCTCTTGGTCACAGGCCTTGCAGAAAAAGAGCAGCAGCCAGTAAGGTATAGCACAAATTTGAGCACGGCTCTCACTGTTGGGTGCCATGTCTAACCAGGCACTGCTTCTGTTTAGGCCAGTTTAGGCTTTGCTCAAGGAAGCTGAGGAAGGGAGGTTATTATTTATGTAATGCTGCGGAAAAGTCGATCATTCTCGATGCCAAGGTGTCGCCAGTCTACCACCTGGCCTCGCGGCGACGATCCCACCAGGAGTGGCTGCAAATCTCCCTCCAGGCTTTTAGACTTGTTCCTCAGTCTTTGGCAGCATCCTTGCGTCAGCCCGGATTGAGGCATCGCTGCCAATATTCCGCCTGGGGTCGCAAGTGCCCTGGGCAAGATGCCGCCGGTACCGGGGGCGCCCCCCATGCCAGGCTTGCGGGGACTGAACGCTTGGGATAGTCGCGAGGTTTCACAGGGTGTCCGAACACGATCTTTAAGTTAGAGAGCCTCGTTTTGAGCAGGCTTGGCCCCCGGCTTTGCTGGCGTGCGGCCGCCACCCATCCCGCTACCACCGGGCGTGATGCCGCCGAAACTCGACGGCAAAACGGAGTGACCGAGTTCTTGCACTCGTCAGTTCATCCATGCTGCACACATGTTACAGTAATCAGTTGGTCATATGCTGCGGAGAAGTGCCACACCAGAACATCAGACTGTGTTTCCTTCAAAGGGACTCTAGCATGAAAAAGCTGCAGCCAGATGTTCCTATAAGAGGTTGCTTGGGCAGCCGGTGAGTCTCACGCAGCAGCAGGCAATGGAGCCTGCACCCCAGTCTGCGGGTTCGAGTTTGCCTGCGTAGCTTTGTGTCCGCCGCAGCTCAATGTCACGACAGCTGCTGCAGCACGAAGGTACGAAGAGACGAAGGCTCGAGACACGGCCACTTGGCAGTCTCCATCAGATCTCGCCTCTGCCTAGCTCTCGTGACGGGCAGGCTGTACCATGCTGTACAGAAGTCCGTGTCGCAGACATAGGATATATATATATATATATGTAGGACTAAAGATGACGCATGCATGGCGTCTTCGTTGGTATGTCGTTTCAGCAGAGCCAACTGGTTGGCATTATTGAATGCTGACCGTTCCCATGACACCCAGCCGAGTTCTGCTCCCAGGCGCTGGAACCGGAGGTTATCGAGCTTGTGCATTACTTCAAGATCTCGGATCGACATGCTCGAATGCTCAACGAACAGCTCAAGCCACTTGGATCTCGACAGCTCAGCTTGCTGCATCTAGGACTTCACATTATCTTTTGAGGCGGCGAAACAACACCTACGAGGAGGACATCGCATCCCTCTATGAGATCTTGAAGGGGGCCAAGAATCCAGGAGCCTAGCGCTTGTCTCCTTCAGTCCAGTAAGACCATCGCTTGTCGCGAGGAGATCTGCTGATGGCCGTGGCCCTGGGGCCCTGGGCGATCACATTACTGCTGTTGCAGCCTTGCTGAGGTCTCCATCCGGTGGATGGAGAAGGGTGTGTTCCGCGGCACCCTGACGCCCAATCCGGCAGTTGAGAAGGCCCAGAAACTCTGCGTTGAATCGAAGATTGAGTCAGCAGATCGCAAGCCTTTCGGCCTTGCAAGCTGCTTGGCTTGCGTCCAGGCGGCCAAGAAGTACAAGCTGGACGCGCCTTCTGCCTGCAAGTTGGCGGAGGTGCTCGAATGCCGAGAAGATCCAGATGCCGATCTGAGGCGCGACTCCCTAGGAGAAGAGCCGGGCTTCGAAACCTGCACTGTTTCAAGGAATGCGAACAGCCGCGCAGAGTCGCACAGACTTCAGACTCCGAACCGAAACATCGCGGGGCGGAGTGTGTCATGAAGATGTCACATGAGGAGCGCAGTCTCTGCCTGGTAGATCAACCCATGTATGGTGGTGAGACGAGGACTGAGGGGTGCTGTGCGGACCAAAGGAAATTGAATGTGAACCAATGCAGCGGCCGTCGCCCATTTGGGCACCCGTTGCGAAGAAGCACTCGGCTTCGACTTGCCACAAGCACGAGGCCCACTTTTCACCAAGAGTGACTGGGAGCACGGCTTTCCGTCTTGGCTCGCAAGCACTACACCTTAGCACAAGCTGGCCAAGACATGAAACAAAACACCTCTTCTGGCAGGCGTGTCAGGTGCTAGAACGGAATGCAACAAGGTTTCATAACAGATTGAATGCAGAATTCACAGTTTAGCCTTGGCTTTCTCGGGTCAGGAGCGGCTGCTTGTGTAGGTTCAGTCCCGCTATGTGCAGCTGAGTAAGACCGAGCTTTGCACCCTCCATTGGCACTGTCCCACATGTCCTTTGATCTCTTGTTGGGCTTGCGGGTGTGTCACCACGGAGCCTGAATAAAAGGACTTGACTGCTGAGCTCCACGAACGAGCGCTTGCAAAGGACACTGTAGGAAATCTCCCAATCCCCACCTGCTGGAGTTGTGCAGTAGCATGGCTGCTGGCGTTTGCAGACTGGATGCATCTAGACTCGTAGTCGGGTACAGATCTCTACCGGGGCTTGACTGACTTGGCGATGTGTTGTGATGCCCATCCTGTGGCAAAGGAAGATCAGTGAGCACCTGGCAGCCTCAAACAAGCCCTCGTCCTTGGCCATGAGCTCAGCGGCCATGGCCATCCATGGCCTCAGCCTGAGAGCTGCCGGGTTCCCTCCTGCTCCTTCGAGGTCATGCAGATGTTGCGAGATATCAAAGCCGGTAAGCCCGTGGAGGCGTGCACACGTGCCCCAGCTATCGGAAGCTATCTGCACAAGAAGGCCGGGCGATGCGACTTGCTGCTGCGCTTCTGTGGGCCCGTGCTTTGCCGTGCAAATGGCTCAGGAGACGGCGACCAAGCAGAACTCGAAGGGCGGCCGGAGTAGGCTGGAACATGCTGGAGGATTAACGCTAGGCAGCTTCAGCCCCCCTGTCACAGACCATCAGGACGCCGACCCGACGCAGCCCCAGCCGGGAGCGGAGACACCGCAGCCGAGAGCGGCCGCGTGGCCGGAGCCACCTGGTGAAAGCTCCGAGGAGAGGACTCAGAGGACCTTGACCCCTAGATGTGTGGCTCAATTTTTATCTGAGGTCGCAGCCGAGGCGGCCGTGGCGGAGAGCGCGGTGGAGACCGTGGGGCCCACCGCGGTGACCGAGGGGATCGCGGGGGTCCGGAAGATAATGGCCGTGGCCGGCAGCGACACCTGGCCAAACGACATGACAAATGCTTCGGGCTTGACCGTGCTGCATCGAGTTTCCGAAGATGAACTGATGGTTTGAAGTTGGCGCTTTCCTATGAAGGAACCGCTCAAATCATGCACTGCCTGTGCTGCATGTACTCGGATGTACTTGGTGCACTGTCGGGGTCCAGAAAATGCCGAAAGCCCAGGACAGCCATTCGCGCACACGCACACACACTTGCACCAGATCTCATGATCTGTAATGTCGTTGGTGATGCGTCGCTTTTTGTTTGTCTCGCTTCTGATTATGTCTAGCTCTAGATTTTCTGATTTGCTGCATGTGCCATTGTTTAGATTATTTTAGATTACAGGTATCAAGGCTTTTCTGGTGCATCCAGTATCTCACAACCGACATGTAAGCACATCACTGCATGTAAAAAACCCTTGCAAGCAATCAGCTCTGACATGTGATCAAGAAGCCTCAAAAAACACTTTTAGAACGAGATGTTGAAAGACCACCATCTGGAATCTTTCCCCAGGTGCGTAATTCTCGCAGGTACGTTTACACAGCATACTGGATGAGGCTTCGTTGACCCAAGCCATCCAGCAGCCCTTGGGCCCCTGCTTCACTTCACACTCGGTATTGTTAGGTAGGCCTTAAAGACAGGGATTACTTCACATAGACACATGAGCATACCCTGGTTCTGGTCAGGGTTTGGGATGACTTCCCCCGCCCGAGGTTTACATAACCGACACCAGCCGGGTCACCAGCCATTTCCATGTCGGTCCGTCGTCTGTCACCTTGTAAGGTTGCAAAATGGTGCAGTAGTCCGAACAAGTGCCGGGCAATCGGCAGGGTCGGACATGGTCCCTTCAACATCATGCAGAGCCCCTGCAGCAGCAATTATCCCCGAATCGCCGAACCTACGAACAAATCTTTTGAGAATGCCTGGATCCATGGTAACTCATATGTCTCATGTTCAGGAAGCCGGAGCCGCACGGACCGTCGTGGTGGCCGACGCTACTTGGCAAAAACATGCAAAAACGGTTCTAGGGAAATTAAGGGCGTTGCTGGGGCCACTTAAAAGGCTTCGATCCGTTCTTCAGAATTATAAGTAGCGATCAGCTCTTGGTTCTGATGCATGGGCGAACAGGTGAGGATCGAGCTGCCGAGGAGCATCCAGGCTCTGCTCTGGTGCGAGATTTTTCTGCCATGGTTTACATAGAGATCCACAGCAAGCTCGTGCATACTTTGGCTAGATTCCACTGCATGCAGGCTGCTCCTCACCTTCAGCGAACTAGATTGTTTAGTGCAGAAACGCATCGTTTTTAGCTGCTGCTTATGACCATCTTATGTCCAACAGGTGAGGCAGCGTGACCAACCGGGCCTGAGCAACTTGCAATGTCCGGCTGCAGCCACTGAAGCGACAGCTGGCCCGCATCTGTTCAAGAGAGGCCACGGCCCTGCCGGCCAAAGGAAGAACGAAGCAGTCTAAGTTTACAGGACATTTCTTTAAGGATGTATGCTGCAGTGGCCATTGAGGATCTGCCAGCTGCGTCAACGCCTGCGTTCCTCGCGTTGATCGCGTGCTTGTGCAGATTCGGGTGCAGATGTATGTAGCTGTGGAGGCAGGTCAACAGGTACTGCCCGCAATATCCTGCGACTCAGCCATGGATGCAGGAGAAAAGCAGAGCTGTTTCAGTCCCATCGTTGTGCTACATGAGCTTTGCTGTCAAGAACGTTCGGAGCATGCACGGCATGTCCGTGCATCGAGGCACTGCTGGCTGCCGAGATCATCTGGGCGCCGAGTCCCCAAGATTTAGGAGAGAGCATCCGAGTGGCCGAGCCTTTGGCAGCCCGAAGCTTGAGGCTTTCTCGCGGCCCCGATCAGAAGGAGGTTTGCACTGTGCACCTTTGGTTCCGCACCCAGCTTTCTGGAGACTTTGGATGAACAGGGCTACCACCCTGACCCCACGTATGACCCAAGGCCAGTCTCTCCTTTCGGCATGTTCAGTGCCAACATTTCGGTGTCGCTGTCTCAGCTCGATAGCAGCTGCAGTTCTTCATTGTGTGCAATTTACGAGCTGAGGCCCGCAAATGCATCCTTTGGTGACCAGGCTGCAATCAGCACATCCAGGTCTCTGCACGTTTGACATCAACTTCCGAGCAGAGTCAAGCTGCATGCATAACACCGAGACACCACATGCGAATATGCCCTGCGACAGGCCCAGTGCCATCGGTGAGTTTGTTCTGGGCACGGGCTGCGACCCCTCAGGCATCACGGAGGGAGGGTGGCCCAAATTGTGTGCTGTGCAGAGACGCACATTGCCTTGAGTCTCCATTGGATGCCGAGGTGCTAAACAGCTGCCGCATCCTCGGAACAAGCAAGAATCCTTGTGTATCCTTGTCGTTGCATCCTTGCCAAGTTGTAAACGAAGTAAAGTGATAGACTGTGATAGATTGCGCTTGGGTGTGTAGTTTGCACGGGTGAGTGGTCAGTGTGACAAGGCTGCCGTGCTAGTGGTCAAGTAACGAGTGGTCTTCTTGATGTTCCGTGTTTGCTGATGGCTGTTGCTGCTGTCCTTGTTGCCAAGTGCATGGGGCAGCCTCTTGCACGCACGAGGCGAGGAATGGCGGCGACATCGTATCCACTATCGAGATCCGGTGCTCCGATCCACCCCGTTCGCCAGAGCCTTGAGAAGCTGTGAGAGCTCAAGCCGGCTCTTTGGAGCTTTGCTTTGGAAAGCTGTGTTCGTAACAGTCGAGTACTTGCGAGCGAGGCAGCTTCTGATTCGCGTCGGCACAGTTGAAGTTACGGACATCAGCCTCATATTTCTTCTTGGTCCCCGTGCTCCGCCTCTGAGGACGTCCTCGTCGCTGACCCTCGCCCGCCGACTGTGGGACTCTGAGCTCTCTAGGCCCTAGGCTCGAATCGCCGTGTTTGACCTCTGTCAGGTTCTCCGACTATGACTAGACTCCTGGCATTTGTATGCTGTGAATGCACGATGTCCTGTTCAGAGATCCGGCTGAGGCCATTGTAGTCCCACCGGAAAAGACAAGAACCCTGACCCGTTCAGAACAACAATAGCTAACTGTCGCGCTATCTCTGCGAAGACTAATGCTGTCTTGTCGCGCAGACTGAATGGCCACATGTCCCAGCAGATCCTCAGCTTCGAACGATTCCGACAATGCGTGTGAGGAGTTCTCTCGCATCTGTGAGGACCGCGACGTCGTCGCGTGGAGCAGGAAAGCCTGGGCACTCGTCAAGCGGCTTTCTGACTGTGATGGTTTCCAAGACGTCGACATTGAGACCAACTGCACACAGGCGCTTGACGTGTCGAATGGTGGAAGCATTTGGAGGTCTGGCACAGAGACTGAAGCGCTGCTGAGACGGCAAGACCTCGGCCCGTGGTACTTGGGTAGCAAGGAGGTGCCGGTGACAGAGAACGCAGTATGTAGCGATCCTCACAGACATTGCACAAAGAGGATTGCAGAACAGCTCTCTGGCCGGCCACTTAAGATTCAGCGGACGTTTGACAGCAGTGAGCCTTTCGATTGCAGAGTTCCAGAAGAGTCCAAGATCAGCCCGGAGGATGTCGTGGTCACCGTCTTGCTTCAAAACTCCAAGGGTTCCAGGGATCAGGAGTTTGATGTCCTCGCCAGCCAAACACTTGAAGACCTGAGGGATGCCTTTTATTTCGTGGGGGACTTAATGTTTGACGGCCCAACCAGGAGGGCTTCGGCTTGCATGTACATTGACGGCTTCTTCTATGTCGACAAAAGGCAGTCATCCGCGCTTGATTATTCGGTGGAACTGGTTGACTGGCTGCGCAATCTCGACTTTGCCTTGCGAGATGAGAAGTCCCGGTCGATGTCTACACGAATCTGCGACCTGGAAATTCCATTCGGGCAGCCATGCTGCTTCATACGACAGGGCGACATCGAGCATCATATGTACTTCACAGGCGCGCGGCTGATCAATGGGACGAGAGACTGCCCCTTTCGCGAAGGCTACCCTTGCTTAATCTGGATGCGACAGTATCACCGCCGGCGTTGTGTTGCTTGCCTTTCGAGCTTCGCGTCGTGGGTGGTGCTTGACTCATCGAGATGTCCTTTGAATCCAGCCCATCTTTGTCACTTTTGTTTCAGACACTTTTCAGAAAAGAGAAGTGGAGGGTACATCGTGCCAACTGACTACAAGGCATTCCCCTATCTGCACGACGAGACTTGATGCGAAAGGCTTTCGTATGCGTGTTGGGCCAATATCAGATGCCTCCTAGATTGGCGGGTTTGAAGGAGGACACTGACCTGACCTGCTGTCGCAAAGGCAGGATCTGGCTGACGAGCTTGGGATTGGTCCTTGGCAAGGCGAAGAAAAGGACCCGACGATCTGTTCCGGGAGCGCCGATTGAGCGATTTCGCACGTCTGCCAAAAGCCGCATCATTGCGCCGGGTTTTCGCTGACCGTCTTGGAATGGAAGCACAGGCGATGAGCAACCGCATCCTCCCTCCAGGCATGAAGCGCAGAGGAGCTGTCATGGAGCTTCATGTCGCGCAGTGTTCAAAACGGCTCCAGTGACAAATCCTTTGGGTGCCAAGCCACGTGTCGATCAGTTCTCGACGCAGAGCCATTTTCGTTGAATAAGTTTGTTTCTCCTACCTAAGGCCTTCATCAAGTTCAAGCGCTTTCCTGCCTTCTTGCTGCCGGGTCAGCCATTGCGGGTTGCACTTTTGCCCGGTGCTTGGCCACAGTCTCTCTTGGCCATGCTTCTGGCGTCTCACCGAGGCTCGAAACCTACACAGGCATTCCTCTGCAGAACCATGATGTCAAGGCAGCTGTGGTCTGTGGCCTGCGGCTTGCGCAACTTCAGAGTCTTTCTTTCCCGTTGACTGGCTCAGTGCGAGCCGCAAGCCTGACTTGACAGTCGTCTACTTTCATGCCAGATCGAGATCTCAAAGACAGTGGAGGACGCGTTGCAGTGGCCTTACGCGCATCTTACGCATTCTTACGCTACATGTGCACCTTCGTCTGCCAGTGCGACAGTCAACAACCCATATTTGATGCCCATACGGCCTCGTACAGTAGGGGTGGCCCTGCCTCAGGCCGCTGCCGGCTCCGGAGATGTCGCAAGCCGAGGCCTCCTGCACAGCAGACCGCTCGATACGAATTTAGTGACTTTCTGGTGAACCTGAGCAACTCAGAGTAGTTTTCACATGAGACAAGGAATTGCAGCTGATGCTAAAGCCGCTAAAGTTGACGCTAAAGCACGCAAGATACTCGTGAGCCGCCAGCAGCTCGTGCAGGATCGCGGAGAAGACAGAAGCACAGAGTTTGCCAAATCGACCAACGCATCTGGCCTGTGGTCCCAGGACGTGATGAGAAAGCATAAACACAAGAGCCGATTCAGCAGCAGGGGCCTTTGCTTCTGAGAATGCAAGCTTCCCAGATATGTGCAGGATGTGATGTTTGGCCCACAGCGTGCAGCTCTCAGGGTCTTGTGCCTGATGGTGCGTCCATGTGCGCTCCAGCTAGATGACCTTGTCTCCCGGTCTGCCCGTGAGGTGAAGTATCTTGGATCCCGAAGTTGGGAGACGAGCTTACTGTGAAGGCCAGAAGACGCCCCATCCCATCTCTTGAAACCGGTGTTCCGCATGATTTGCATTCGGTCCTTCGCAGGCCTCCACGCGTGGACCAACAGGTGAGCTTCTGGTACAGTGCCTGTTCTCAGTATACGAAAAGGGCTGAGGCATGCTGAGGCATTCCTGTTGTAAGTCAGGTCGCAGAAGCTACCGGTCCGCTTGAGCCCATACGAGGTGGACATCAGGAGCGATTAGGTTGCCAGAGCGGTAGCCACGCTGCAGTCGGTCTCGCAGTTCTGTCGCCGTTGTCCCTTGCTTGAGGACTTCGGCAGGCGTTGGTGGCGCAGAGGGGCCCCTTCCAGGCAGCATCGTATGCTGTGTGGCCGAATGAGTCTACGGTGCATCAGATCTGCAAATGCCCCGCAGGACAAGACTTCACGGCCTGGGTGGAGTTGAAGGCTTTGGATGCAGTTCTGTTGCGGAAGCTGATGCGAAGCGCCAGACCTGCAAATGAGGCCGCCTTTCCTGACGAGAGCTGGAGCATCGCAACAGGCCCAGATGCTCCGCGCCCAGTGCTCGCTGTCGCCCCGCTGACTCCCAAAGTGGTCAGCTCCGAGGCTGCGAAAGTCTTCCTGGTCCCGGTTTCCGCAGAGGACGAGAAGACGGCGCGGAATGGTGGCCGCTTGGCTCCGGGGGACATGGCCCTTCCAGCCCTGGCAAGCCTTAAGCTCTCATTTTCAACACACACACACAACTACACAAGCATAGGGAATTCCGTGTAATGCCGCTGCCTGAGGCAGTTGCATGGCACACCTCTGCTCGCTTCCGGAGCCGGGCCGAAAGCTGGCTTCGCCATCCGAACCCGCCATACTATGCCAGGCCTGGGTGCATGCCCAAGAGGAGAAGCAAGCCGGCTACTCAGAGGCTCCCTTTGAACGCCTCCGACCGTCGAGCAAGAACACTGCTTCCGAGATTACGAGGCCTTGACACCCGACAGGTTTGTGGATGAAAGGCCTTCGCGGGAGTGGCACTTTTCTGGTTTCGGAGTGTCTTGTTCATCACATGTCACAAGCCCAGTCTCCGAACCGCGAAGCCCTAATTGGCTCCAAAACTTTTGCAACTTTTGGTGAGTGGCGAGCTGATGGACAGCGACAGCAGCGGAGAGAGCAGCGAGAGTGCGGTCTTGGAGGCTCCGGAAACGGGCAGGCTGCGAAGGATGCTGCGATCGCATTGGCCCATCCGTTGCCTGGCACCGCTGGTGCTCACGTCTTTACTTCTGGGGGGCCTCTTTTTCTGTTCTCGCCGGGCAAAGCCTCTTCCTGGCGAAGTTGTCGGACAACCGACGTCGCTTTACTCCGCTCAATGCCTGGCTTGCGGCCGCAGCGAAGTACTGCAGTGCATTGTGCGTAGTGGCGGTAGGCACCCGAGCGAGCAGCATGCCAAGCGGCCACAGCGGCCACATGCTCAAGAGACTTTCCGCTGCAATGACGGTTGCACGATCTGGCAAAGTAATGTCAACGACGACGCATGCCACTGTTCCGACTGTGAAGACGAGGAGGCGTGGAGCTGCAGAACTTGCGGAGTGGCTCATCTACGGAGCTTGGGTGAGGGCGAGACGGTTCATATCGCCTCGAAGCATGAGGCGAAGCACTATGCAAGGGACGTGGGGGTCGGGGTCGGAGTGGGCCTAAGCTCCGCCTTCGCCTTGGGCTTCGGCTTGGCCTTCGGCTTGGACGCGCCTCAAAGCGCAGCATCCACCACTTCCCCGGTTTCCTTGCCGGCTCCAGGCCAGCCAGGCATTGCTCCAGGCCAGACTGTTACGGCTGCGACTACTGTACTGTACTACAAGTACTTTCGTGGTGTCGTAGGACTTTCACAACATTGGGTTGGTATGAATTGGGATTCAGGGATTCGGTGCTGTACTGTAGTGGGTCCCGAGACATGAGCACAGGAGATTTTGCGATAGGCATCTACTACGTGGTCGTCGTCAATATCGGGATGAACGTCTTCAATGCAGTGCCCTTCAGGCAAAGCCCCTTGCTTAAGCAGGTCGTTCGCAGAACCGTCGCAAGAATTGGCAGGGTCAGCCCCTCCATGGCCGCCTTGCGATTTCCGGACTGGGCTGTTGACGATGACGATGACGACGATGATGACGACGGTCGCAGGCTGCTTCGAAAGCCAGGGGAGTCAGTTGACCTCGATGTTGGCATTCGATGCGACAGCACCGCCACGGCAAGCGAAGTGGAGCGGCGGATACGCAACCAAACTGCTTTCTCTGCTCAACAGGTGATGAATTCCGAGCTTCAAACTTCTGGAGCCACAGGTAAGGTTGAGATTGTTCGGTGGCAGCCGGCCCCGAACCCATTATCCTTTAATCCCAATAAAGGTCCAGTCCAGTCAGGTTTCGTCTTTCAGGAGAACGTCAGCCTGGGGCTGGCCCCAAGGCCCTAGCCGAGATCTTCAACCATGTCACCTCGATGTTTCACTTACAAATGATAAAAATTTCCAAGAAGCCAAAGAGCTGAGTAGATCTAACTTCGCGGCATCGCAAAAGAGGTGTTGTCTACACAAGAATCACAAAGCTCGGCCAGATGCACAAAACTGATTGTAGGGTCCCGAATGAGTCTGATACCGGCAGTTGCCAGGATTTGTCAGCAGCAGATCTCCTTGAAGTCCCCGGCTGCTTGCCAGTTCAGGCGCCCTCCGGTTTTGTCGCTCACGGAGCTTTGTGAGCATGAGATATTAAGAGCTGTGTTCGATTCCTTGTGTCTCGGCATTGAGGATGCCGGCAGCTGAGAAGTACGTCCTCGTCGCCAAGATTAATGTGTGCGGGGCTGAGGACACAGTCGGAGCCCGTGCGGGCCTGCACAGCATCCGATAGGACATCGGTCTCGTGGAAAGGTAACGATCAAGCCGTATCTGTAGCATGTGTTCAGAGTCCAGACATCGAAATGCTGGGTCTCTTTCACGCTGCAAGTGTGTCGCTGCAGGCATGGCGAAGCCGGCATGGACCCGATTGATTGATCCTGAATTTTTCCTTAGTTGAGCATGTGCAAAGAGGAATAAAGCTTCCACAACTCGTGCTTTTAGAACTGCAGATGTTTCATCCGACTATGCCCCACTAGATTACCCATTGTAGATCCTGAGTCATTTACCTTTCCTGTTTGGCTCTTGGTATCGATGGGTCAACCTTTGACAAAGCACCATTCCTCGCTGGTCCTGGTACCACAGTTCGCTCCTGCCTGGCGCATCGATCTGCATCCACAGTGGCAGAGGGTGTTGAGATCTCGACCTCATTGCTTCATGTGTTGATTTGTAGTAGTTTCGACGTTCAATCAGGGAAATGATTTAAAGTTGCACTAGATGCAACCGTAGTTCTCCGTTCACGGGGTAGTCAGGGCATGTCGACGTATACACTGCGTGTACTAGTGGGTACCGATTTTCGATTCTTATGTATGGGCGTCCACGAAACTATATTCTTACTTCCAGGAGCTCATCTACGGCTGCACTTTCATCGGGCAGACAAGCAGGGATTGGAGGCGCAGCAGTGGTCTGGAGTCGAGTTCTTCCATGCGATGGGGAGCACTTCCACACTGTTGGCAGTGACTAGCGCGAGCTGGTGGGGCAGGCGCCGGCCAGTGGGCTCGACAAACGTATTCGATCGCTTCGAGGCGCGGACGCTCTTCCAGACCATAGCCAGCAGATTACGTGCCGAGTCTCCTGGATGTAGTTGGCAGTTGCTGGATCGTTAGGTGAAAACAGAGAAGTCTTCGTACGAAATCGGTGAGACCATACATTTGGAGGCCAGCTCAGATTTTTTATTGACGCCTCGCCTTATGCCGATGCAGTGCAACGCTAGGTTTGCAGGTCATGCAAGACCTTCCAATCCCATTGTTTCTCTCTCACTCGTTTGCTAGGCCTGCGTCGAGGTTAAGGCTTTCTGCACATGAGCATCCAGCAGGTGTGGAATCCCTTGTTCGTGCAGTCACGACTGCTCATCTTCTGGGGCGAACAGCCCGCTGCCCGTAGCTTGGAGAGATGCGGTAACGGAATGGTTCTGGAGAGCAGCTAATTGGCTAGTGACAGCTTGTAGAGCGAGAACGGTCTTCGAAAGATGCAACATGGCACCATGGACAGTTAGCGACTGAATAGCATGACTAGCGATGCAAAGTTATGCAAAGTTCATGCGGCTGCGTCACTTTGCGGATTCCAAATTCTTGGTGGAACCAGGGGAAGGGTAGGAGACCAGCGGACCTTCCTCCGAGCGTTCCAAAGCTGCCCGAAGCAACATCATCTCTTAGATGGTCCTGTCATGTTTGCGTTAAATACATTCAGTAGCATGGTGTATGTTGGGATTGCAGAGTATGTTTATTAGATGTTGCCGGGGCCTTGTCCAGGGAGTTGTTCAAACACACAGTGTCAAGCAGCATTGCCTGAGAAAAAAAGGTTGTCGATGTCGAGAATGTGACTGGCTATCGCAAGGTGCTTTTCTTAGCACTCACAGGGTAGAACGGTCGTAATATGACACGAGAATTGCCGCAGGTGCAGGGAATCTCAGGCTCATTTGTGCTGCTGAGGTGTCACTTGGCACGGTGATGGATCAGGATTGCCCCATGCGGGTGTGCCAGGCATGACGTCTTGTGTGATCTTTCCGTATGGAAGGCGTTGCACATTACCATTTTTGTCTAAGACTGCCGAAGCCATCCTAAGCCTTCATCCTTCCTGGGAGGCTTACGTCTTCGTCTGCAGCACGGAAGATCCGAGCACCGTCTTGGAGCACGTTCCTCGCTCTATTCACTATCCCAAGGCATGCTTCTGCAAATGCTCACGCTGCACACGTTGATCTGTGTTTTGCGGCTGCCAGCATGTTCTACACTAGGCTAAGTGCTAGGCTAAGTAGGTCTTTCCGTTCTGAGCGATGAGCAGGCTTCGCCAATATGGGCACTTCAGGAGGCTCTCGCAGACGCATCAGCTGAGGCAGCAGTTGTTTGTCCGCGTTTGATGTGCAGGTGAAGTTCAACATATCCCGACCCCGCAACTCCCTGAAGGCATCGCTTGCTCCTTTCATTGCAAGCCTTTGGTGACGCGGGATGACTCTCAGGTTCAGGTGACCCCACAAGCTGCCAGCACAGCTCCCGGCAGCGACATTGAGATCGAGGCCAGATCCACTTATGTCAATGTAGATCACTCGGATAGCTGCAGTAGAATTCCCTGCTTCAGGTTCAAGTCGACCAGCGAGGGCAGGCAGAGGTGGCCGTGATGGTGGTCGACAAGGCAGAGGATAGGAACTCCGAAGTCTCAGGCGCCTTTAGCTCTTAGAGCCCAGGCTTGGCTGGACCTTCGCCCGTCGAAGCTGCAGGATCCCTTGAAGGCCCGGGAGAAAACGAACTGCTTTGCTTTGAGAGGTTGATGACTGATTTTCTTCGCATTTGTCCGCAGAAGTATGGGGTACCCCATGTAAGAATTGTCAGGAACGTACTCCATCCGATGTCCGCAAGTTTCCGAGGGTGCTGCTTATGCAGCTCTCTATCCTTCGTACAAACAAGAGACATCCCTAAACTCCGCAAAAGCCTTGGGCAGGCCTTTGAACCCAACGAAATCGAAGCGCGGGGGCCAACGTCGAGAGCTGAGCTGCTTGTGGCTGACGGGGTGACTACATGTTTGTCACCTGTGACCGGCAACTGGTTTAGACGGTCCGGGAGAACGAAGGCTCGACATGCATGTCATAACATAGAGGACCGTAATTTTCATGAGCGGCCGAGGTGGCATGTCGTGACTTCCTTGGATGGCATCTCTTCCGGAGATGCCCTTCGGAAGGCTTTCACTGGGATGCTTACCGACTGCCTCTCACACTCCTGGACATACCTGGGACATGTGTAAAGCCGGTGTGCGAATGCGTTCGTGTGGTGTCACGAAGCTGATTGTAGGAATATGGTCGTGGGTAAAGCGCAGACATTCCTAAAGACTAATCATCCTCGAGCAGATCTTGATCAGGCCACCAAGATTGTCCGACAACGACTCGAGGAGAACCCATGGGTGCAGTTGGCGAGTATTCCTGCGATCTATGCGAACTAGCTGAGTTGTGAGCCAGGCGAGAGGCAAAGCAAGGCTTACTTTTTTGTGGGTCCGAAATGCCAGGTGGGCTTCCTGAGCTGGCCGATATCCTTGCGACGCACGGACATCTAGCTGGGGTCTGCAAACATACGTGCGGTCTCGGAGTAGACTTGGGAGCATTGCGGAGTACTTCATGCGGTGACCCTTTAAAGCCATGGCAGCTTCAACTGGAAGGATCAGTCAGAGCTCGATGTTGACGACTACCTGGAGCGGTGGGGACAGGCGCGTGCATAATCGGCAAAGTACGAAGCAGAGCATGTTGCATCGAATGCTCGTGCAGTCTGCGTGGCCTCACGCTGCCTGAACCGTGGTCAGGAGTTGACCGAGTTCCCCCATCCCCCCATGGCCCGGGACTTGGGAATGAAAACTGTACCAGGAATGGCCAGCCTGCCCAGACAGAATCTCAAGTCTCAACCCATCTCTGGCCAAGTTCTTTTCAGGTTGAAGAGTTCGCTTATAGGAACGCCGGCGGGCCTTTGATGATGGCCACATCCCGAGAATACGGTGCAAAGCTTCCCGAAGCTGTCCGTAGGAAGAGCAGGCAGCATCATTCACTTCTGATTTTCTGTGTGCCTGGCTACTTGTGTGCCATCCATGTGTAGATCGACGGTACCTGCCACAGAAGGCAGCTTTAGCTCACAAAGCGAGTTTTGGTGGACGGTTGAGGCAAAGGGCATGGTGGCGCCGATGGCTCTAATGGAGAGCGCCCCGGTTCCCGCTGCACAGACCTCAAATCGTCAATGATCCTGTGCTACATCGTGGAGCCTCCGCCTCGGATGTGGCTCAGGGGGCAAAGGCTTTGGTGGGCGACGATGCATACGATGCAGAAGCGGCGACATCGGGAGCTTCAGGGGCCACTGCCGAGGAGTGTCCTATTTTCTAAATACCTGGAGTACTCATGCATCTGCCTGCGCAATCAGAGTCGATCAGCGTTGACCTATGACTGCAGGGCACTGGAAAGCAGGTGGTGCTCCGCAAGCGATTCGTGACGACCCCATAGCAGAATCTGGGAATCGGCATGCGAAAGGTTTACGTTGGCTGAGGCCAAGTTGGTCGCCCTGAATCGGGCGTTGCTTGTGTGGTCCTCAGATCGGCCGAGCAAAAGGCAGATTCCATCCAAGGAAGGATCCCTACTGTCGACAGGGAAAGTCGACGCGTTCCAATAAAATCATAGGTCTAGCTAGGGATTCACTTTTGCCAAAGTCTGAAGTCAGTGCGATTGGCGTCCAAGAGGGGTTTCGATGTCTAGAGGCTCCGGAAAATGGACTGCTTCTTCTTGTGGCGCAGTAAACAAGAGCGGGGAAGCATTTTAAGCTCTCATAGATTCCACCCCACAAGTGGGGTTTTGCCTGCTCAGCTTGCGAAATTGGCTCCCACTGGAGTGCGCCATCAGGAACCTGGCGTGAACTCCTGGAGGACAAGAGTTCGGTCCTATGCCCAGACATCAGACTACCAAAATGCCGCAGAAAGTTGCACCGCATATATCCAGAACGATTTGAGTTTCTCAGGCTGCCGCAGGACTTGTCCACGTACGTGATTCGAGTGGTCGCCGTGTCACATGAGGCCCTGGGGGGGGGTCTTTTTTGGAGTTCTTACCAGTTGGATTTCAGCCAGGAAGGTGGATTTTGGTCCTGGGGCTCGGCCGAGTCCTCCGTGCAGACCTCCCAGCTCGTGCCCGGGGCCCTTGGAGCCAACGAGGGCCACCGAATGCTACCCAGTCCGTTTGCAGCTCAGGTATGGAAAACCTCTGCTGCCAAGGGCATCCTTGGCCAGTGATGACGGATCGTCACAGAATCTTGTACATGCAAAGTTGGAATTGCCAGATCCTGCGCTTCATGGACGTTTGCCGCATGGGTGTGTCCGTCCAGGCCCCCGGAGCGCACACTGACATCTGCATGTTGCATCAGCTTTGATCGTGGTCCAGGCATGACACTGAGCTCAGTCCTAACAGAGACATCGCGTGAGGCTGTCAACGGCGACTCATCTCGTCCTTTTCTCGTGGAAGCCGTCAAGGTGCAGAACCTTCGACTTTTAGATGAGGCCGCCGGAATCTCACCTTCTGCCAGTTCGCCCACATGGGCTGCCTAAGCAGGATGCCGAGTCCAAAACAGAGCAGTTTGCAGGCATCCCAGATGATCACGATGACCTCGACATCTGCCGAGGCAAACATAATGATGCTGGTGGTCACCAGCTGAAATTTACTCCTATATAGGTCCTAGGTGCACAGGCAAGCTGCATGCTTAATTCAAATCACGACAGGTCCGCTTCACCTTTGCATCCGACATCTCCGTCGGTCCTGCATATGTTGTCTTCAACATCAAGGCGGCTCGCTTGGATAAAGCAATACTTCGGCAGACAGGCATTCTGCCGCTGCTGCGACTTCCACATGCGAGACTCACCGCGTTTACTTGGGCCTCGGTCATGCCCTCTAGATCCTCTAGAAAAATGAAATAAAAATGCCGCAGAGTGCGCAGCAGTCTCCAGTAGCTCGTTCACGCAGGATGCCGAGACAAAGACGGTCCTAGACTCCGTTGCAGCAAACATCGATGTGGAGGTGCAGCAGCAGGCGGAACCATATATTTTGATGCTGTTGAAGATTTTACTTGCAGACAACATTCACATTTGCAGCGTGCTGGTTAAAAGCTCGTCGCTGTGCCGTCAGCCACCCCTCTTGTTGGGATAACGAAGCTCCGTCTAGGCAAGCTTTCACTCAAGTTGCACAGCCTCCCGGACTGCGTTGTTCAGCTTTGAAGTGGCTCTGCCCGACGGTCTCAGGGTTTTCGCATGGCGTCAACCACGACCATCCGGGCCGATCCCTCGCAGGCCTTCGAGTCTAAAAGGATTGTAGCGAAAGGCACGGCAGACGGCAGAAGAGTGATTTGTCCAATCCGGCGAGGCCTCGGTGCGCAAGGAATCCATCGCTCCTTTAAGCGTCGGAGCCTCAAGCGCCTGGTGCCGACTCGTTTTGCTGGTACTGGATTGTCGCTACGTTCCGAGGCTGTTCCAGGATCGGGTGACATGTCGTTTTCGGCATCTGTTGGCTTTCAGGCCTGGCCAAAACTCAGGAATTTCGGCAATCTGCGATTTTTCGTCAACGTGTCAGGCTCCAATTCTTGCAGCAATACTGGAGGCCAGCAGCTGCAAAGCATGTGCGGTGTGTCCAAGGAATAGCTTGAGTGCTGAAACCCTTGGCCAAGTCTGCTAGTCTGTTCAGTAAACCGCAGACCCTGATACTGGGGAGCCTTGTAACCCCGCATGCGACACCCCAAAAAACTTCATATAATTCATAATCTGAAAGTCTTATATATCCTGGGCCGAAGGCCATGAAACGCCTGAAACCTTAGTGTTCAACAGTTCGTAGCCTGAAAACCCCGGCAGCCTATGCGCAACTCTGCAGTCCTAGACCTCCAACCCTCAAGCCGCATAGCCCTAATGATCCCTAATGTCTCACCCTCAAGGTCTGCAGCCCCCAAACCCCACTGTAGCATCCGGAAGCCGCCAAGCTCCAAATCCCAATCCCGAAAGCCTGAAACCTAAAAGTCCAGTCTCCAGCAGTGGTTCGTTCTGTGCCCTTTCTGACAGTTGGCGCCGCGATCCTACGAGCAGTGGCAGCCACTGGGGGAAGACATCCTGGTACGCAGCTCGGGAAGTCTTAGGAACTTGGGGCCTCCGGAGCCTTCGGTGCAGGCTCTGCTGCTTGGTGGCCTCATCATTCGTGTCGGCTATGGCCTCGAGGCCGCGCAGGGCTTCCACATAGTGGCACTGACAGTTTCGGATGCCAGGCTGCGCACGAAGGTCTTGCTCGTGCCATATCGGCTGCCGAAGACAGGCTGCCAAGACAAGCGCGCGGCTCAAGGAGGCCAGTCACGCTTCAAGTCGGGTTTCGGCAGCAGACGAAGGTCGTCCCAGGGCTTGGCCTGGTGAATGCGCCACCAGAGCAGCGCTCTTGGCGAGCAGGCCTCGGGCGGCCTCGGGGGTGCAGCAAGAGGAAGCTTTGCGATGCGGCGATGCGGCGATGCGGCCTGGGGCAGGCGAGCAGCCTGATCTGCTCCTGAACAGCCTGGCGCTGCTAACACTGCGGGCAGCCGAAGCCCGAGCGGCTGAGAACTGAGCGGATCCCCCCAAGCGCCGCTCCGGCCAGGCCCAGGCTCTTGGTCTCGTCCCGGCCAGCTGGGCCAGCGGCTGAGAGATGTGGGCAGAGGGGCCCATGCAGGGGCCCAACAGCACGCTACTTGTTGCTATTTCATGCCATTTCGGAGGCGCCTTTGGACGGAGGAGTTCTTCTGGAAGCTGCATTGAAGGCGGCCCTGGCACTGCGAGTCCGCACTTCGACAGTGCAGTGCACAGAGCCGTATGTAATCACGTCATTTTGGAACTCGCTGCTGCTGGGTGGGTGCTCCACGGCAGCGGGTCAAACAAAAACTAATCAGTATCCAAAAAACAGGATCAAAATTTCCGTCCGCCAACACCGGTGCCCCTGACATCGCCTCTTGTGTGCGTTGCTCCCGCTTCGCCTTTCCAATGCTTGTCCTGGTGTTCTCTTTTGGGTTGGAGAGTGTGCCTAACGAAAGCCAATGCGAATATTAACAATACCTTTAAGGATCAGTGTATGTTGTTATAAGTTCCCATCCCCACAACAAGCGCAGACCTGCACAACATGGTTTCAACTGCTTTCTGTCCCGATGCTGCTGGCACGGGGCCAGCCCGTCGCCTCACTCATGTGGAGTCCGGCCACGTCATTCATCTCTGATGGGCCGGAACGTGTCTGCACCTCCAACTTCCACATCACATCTGTTGTGAGGTTCCACGCTGCATGCGCACGAGTTAACTCTGGTTTCGTCTATCGTCACTGTGACTCCTCCGTGCTTGCATCTGATGCACGAAGAGTCCGGCCGGACTGTTCCCAACGACGATGCAGTTTTTCCGCGAAGTAATCAGGATGTCATAGCCGTCCGGCTGTTGGATGCAGCAGCAACGGCATGGCAAAAGTGTCACAGCAGGGCCACCCGAGCCCAAAGTCAAGGCCAAAGCCAAAGCCAAAGCCAAAGCCAACTCTGCTGCAGCGGCTGATGCCAAAGCCAAGGCAGCTCCCAAACCATCCACGCATGCCTTCAAAGGAGCACGGAGTTTTCAACTCCCGTGCGCGTAAAGCCCGGGGAAAATTTTCCGCCGAGAAGGTCTATTGTCGTTGCCCAAAGAATCCCAAAGATCCTGGGCATTGACCAGGGTGTCAGGCAAGGTCCTCAATATCCGTTTCCAGAAGTACGAGTTCAGTCAAGGGTACAAGATTTTTTCGTTGGTGCAACTCCTGCCATACGTGCCAGGATAGAAAGGGTTGGCGAGGTTACGTTCAGTACACCATCGAGTCATCGAGTCAGGGCTGCTCGAGCGCCGCTTCACCCCGCTGACTGCCCAGGGCGACTTCTCCGCTACAACAGCATGGACGCCGTTAACTTCCACCGACGAGCTCATGAATGGGGCGAAGAACCACCCACCACGGACGACCACGCCGACCATGAACAACAACGACCAGGGCCAGGAGACCAGCGCCACCAAGAAATTGCCGAAGTGCTTTCCCCCAAGTAATGGCGCACTCAGGCCACGCCTCGAATGCCTTCCCACAAGTATTGCCGGGATTCAGACCCAATCGAGAGCACGACGAATCGCTTTCCACCAAGTACTGGCTCGAGGACCAGCTTTTCCGCCAAACATGGGCGCGTTTCGGGCGCCTTAGCTTGCGAGATCCAAAGGAACACCCGGAATCGTTTCCCCCCACATCTTCTGGGATTCAAGGTTGTTGAGAGCAAAAATTGATCCATGTCGTGTTATTTGTTCATAACGGTTTTTTATTCGCGTTGATTAATAAATTGTTTGATCCGGCACCCGTGCTCCACGGCCTGCTAAGTGCATTCATCATATCGGCATTTGCCCCCATCGCAGGCTGTGGAGAAGCAAAGGAAGGATTGGGCGAGGTTGGCAAAGAGACGTCAGCTCAGCTCGAAGACTGCGGCGCACAGTCGTGGTCAGGTGTTGCCAGCGAGACATGACGCTGGTCAGCGGAGGGCTCAGCAAGGCGCAAGTTTGACTGAAGCCTCGTGGTGCCCGGCTCAATTTTGCACGCTTATGGGTGAGTTCCTCTGAGTTCAGCAGTGTTCGGTTCTTCGAGGCTACATCGGTCAATGGCATTTGGCCATGTTCTTCCTGGCACACCCTCCCGCACAATCCAGGCATGCCATCACATATCATGGTTGTTGCACCAAGTGCTGGAGTGCGATGCATCGACCAGGCAGGACCTTCAGCCTCTGTGGGAGGAGAGGGCTGCAACAAATTTTTACAAAAGTTCCCTGGGCCGCATGTCGCTGTGAGCCTGAAGTCGGTGCCTGTTTGAGCTGCACGTAGTACCCGGGATACGGTTGAGGTGCAAAGGCACGCGGTGTAGCATTCAGAAGCACTCAAGATGCGGATGCGGGCCGCATGGCTTTGTCGCCTTTTAAAACATGAACACAAGCCATCTGCGGCGCCCATGATGCAACTTGCTGGACGAAAGACGAGCACATCAGTTGATGCTATTATGACAACTTGCATTGTCACAGGGGTGTACAACATGATGAGCTTGAATAGCACGAGATAGGTCAGACCAAGATACTTCGATGAAAGTCCAGAAGAATCTCCGCACATCACCCGGCTTCACGGAAAATACGGACGCCTCAAGCTCACGCTGCAGGAGCTGCTCCGTGAAGCCATCGATGGTCCCAAAGGCCGGGGAACCAACGTGGAAGGCTTTAGCTCCAGACTTCCACGGTGCATGCGCTGTGCCCTGGCAAGGCAGTGAGCTTGACATGTTGACACGCATTGCAGGAACCCAAGTTCAGCAGCAGAATTCCAGCATGTGTCTGATGCGGCTCAGCAAGTTCAATTTGTGAAGTCGGAACATTGCAGGGTAAACAGGCTGATCGCCAGCATCAGAAGAACGATTGATGGCGCCTGAACACGGCAAAGGAGAATTCCGCAACAACTGCCGACGCTGCATCGCATCGGCAAGGTTTTCTCGGAATGCCGAAACGACTCAGCTGGAAACTGGACTGCCCAAACAGCAGATTCCGAAGGGCGCAAAATAGGCCAACCTATTGTACGAGATATTGCTAGGAGCCTGTCGTGAAAAACAGCCCGAAGATGGAAACGAAAGGGAGGCTGGAGATCCTGTTTTAATGACTGAGGCCTCGGCGCAGCTGCGCCGCGGCCTGGTGCCGGCCTTTGGTGCCGACCGTCGCGCCTTTGCCACTGGGCCACGCATTCTTGGATGCACGGTTTGGACGTCGCTTGATTTTGGACTTTTAGAGCCTCAGGGGTCAGGAGGCCAGTTGAAGCAAGTACTTGCTGATGTGACTACTCTTGAGATGTTAGTGTTTAGCTCATCAGTGACGAAACTCCAGGCTGCAAACACCTTCTCGATGTAGAAACCTCATTCTGAAGATCAGTGAACATCAGTGAAGAAAGTCGTAGGGTTGGCTGAGCTCCATAACGAGGGAAACAACAGTCAGACTGAGGCACAGTAAAACTTGAACATGTGACTTCCATATTAAGGAAACTATGGAATCGCGTCGCAACCTCTGCAACTTTTGCTGGACCTAAAAGGCTTGCCGCATGCAAGCCAATGTGTCCTGAAACCTGACATCCTTTTGCTGACTTCTTCCACGGCAAAACCCGGGGTTCTACAAATGCGAACGGGCATGGCTTGCGGGAGCCCATGAGGAAGCATTGTTTCCATGGCTTGGAGGAAAATAGCTGCTGTACTGAAACTGTGGAATGTGACCAACTGAAATTCTGTGATTCCGCAAGCTTTGAGGCAGAATGGACGCGCTGAGTTTCTCCCTGCCTTTGCCGGGTTACGAAATAGATGTACTCTCTCTGTCTCTCTGCAGTGCAACGATATGTCTTCTCAATTAATCTATCGAATCTACCGCCCCCCGTCCGAGTTTTTGAATGAAAGGCTACTCAGTACCAGGGGATGAAACGCAGGCTTTAGGAGGAAAGGCTTGCCTTTGGGACCCGGCTTTCGAAACCAGAAGTGTTACTGAGAGTCCCAGTAGCCAGAGAAAGAAAGGAGTGCTGAAAGCCCCGGAATGCTGCAGCAACAAAACAAAAGTTCATTCTACGACCAACACTACTCTAGTACTCTAGTATCCTTATGACTACCACTACTACCACTACTACTACTACTACTACTACTACTACTACTACTACTAACTACTACTACTACCTACTA